GCTGCACCATTCAGCTTAATGTCATCTGCAAATTTGCTGAGGATGCACTCAATCCCACTGTTGTGAGAAAAAGAGGTTAAAAATCTCACTTTATATTAAAGATATATAAGCATGAATAGATATCAGTGTTGTAAGACATCTACGGTCTCATGGTCATGTTTCTAAACTGCTCGGTAGGAAGCCATGTATCTTAGTCTCTGGAGATGCTGTGTGCATTGAGCTGTTCTTCGTATCTAGCCTTTGCTGGTACCAAGGGATAGAATTTTCAAAAGGGCCAAAACAATATTGGTGGACTTGTGAATATCGTTTTATTTATTTATTAAAGAGGTAATCTGGGTTGTAGATTTCTAAGTCATTTAAAAATTTCTGTCTCCCTGACAAATTCTTGTTTTCTACTTCCAATTGCTAATATTCTGTAGTTTCTTACAATTTGGTGTAAAAGCATTTTTTTTTCCAGTTCTTTCATATTTGAAAACAGCAAGGCTGATAGTATTTAAGCTTTAAATATGTATTTCTCCTTAGGCAATATCTATAAAAGTCAATCTGAAAGGTAACTTTCTGAGACAGTTGCAAATATCTGGAGAACTGGCTTACCGCAGGGAAGAGATAAAGGGACCATAACCTCGGTAATCTTCAGTCCTACTGTCAGGGTAGCAGAAACATGAGTCTGTTGAAAAATGAACCCAGGTGAACTCTGTGTAGGCAGTAAATTATCGTGGAAATATATTTATTAGATACAGATGTTTAGGAGAAAAAAAAATGCATTTAAAAATATGATTTTTATCTTTTCCACCTTAGAAATTGTTGACGGCAATGTGAAAATGACACTGGGTATGATCTGGACCATCATCCTTCGCTTTGCTATTCAAGATATTTCGGTGGAAGGTAAGTGTAATGCTACTATGTTAAACAGGAAATTTGTTTTAAAATATTATTAAATAGATTATATACAAGTGAGATGAATGTTTTAAGAAAGAACGATTTTTTCACAGAAAGTGAACCATGTCTTGTGATAAAATACATTTCTGGAGGGAAGAAGTAATTACTAAGATGGAGAAGTTCTAGACATGTCTCTCAATTATAAGAGAGATAGAAACAAGTCAACGTTCATGAGTTTCAGTAGCCTGAATCTGTGCTGTACTCAGTGCAGCTGTCCTATTTCCAAAATGCTTTTCTAGACCTGTACATTTCTATCCTTTTTTGCTACTTTATCTGACTGTATTATATCTTTCTGTCATGTTTTTTCTCCTCTACTTCAGGTTTTTTTCTTTCACTTGGTAGCTCTCTCTAGAAAGTGCATCCTTTCTTTAAATTCTTTATTTAAAAGTATTCTTTAAAATAGTATTCTTTAAAACAAGTTTTATCCTATAAAAAGTCTAGATTTCTAGAAACTAATCTCAGTTTTCAACAGAAGGTGTGCCAATTCAAGGTTAGCATGCTGTTCTGCCTATAATTTGTCAAATGTTAACTGCAGACATAGAAATCTCATTGGCTCAGATGCCTACAGTGTGCATATAATGAGGATAATTTATTCAGAATGTATTCCTTTGCATAAGCAAATGGATTGAGAGCACAAGCATATTTCATGTAGGTGCCAAGTGAATCTGTTATGTTTAGTTCTATTACATTTGTATTCAGGTATTTTTCTCCAAGTATACGTTCCGCTGTCCAGTTAAAGTAATTTCTTAAACTCCTAATATTTCAGAAATATTATGTAGGCTAGGACTCTGAGTTGTTCCAGTTGAGCTGATGTGTCTGTCCTAATGGAGCATCTTTAGTCCATTTGCATGACAATCTCTTAGGATTAAATGTTAGTTTATGCTAACCAGTTTTTGATGAATGTCCACCTTTAAGACGAGAAGAAAAGTATTACTTGAGCTCTTTTTACGTCTTCTTACACTCTGGTGTCTCTTGCAGAGACCTCTGCCAAAGAAGGGCTGCTGCTGTGGTGTCAAAGAAAAACTGCTCCTTACAGAAATGTGAACATTCAGAACTTCCATCTTAGGTAAATTTTCATTATTTCAAGAGGTTAGAAGCAGTCTTACATATATTAGGTCAGTTTTTTTTTCCCCACAATTGGGTAGGCACATTTGACAGCAGAATTTCACTCTTCACTGTTAACCTGGGCTTTTCTTCAAATTCTTATGATCTGTATTCAGAGTCTTACTTTGGTTAGCCTTCTGTGTTATTTACCCTGGTTTATGTTTATTAATATATACCCTATATATGTTTATAATAATAACATAATAATATATGTTTAAATAAACATAATAAATTATGTTTATTTTAAAAAAAAAATGCTCCACACAGAACAAACATACAATACTATTAGATGTCCCTTGTATATGGGAATATCTAAGTACCACTGCATAACAATTTAACAAATGATTACTTTCAAGAGAGCCACTGCTAGGTATAGACTGGTCTTGGCAAACATACCAACGTGTTGAGCACATAGATATTTCATTTTGATGAATTCATTATTTTTTAAAATAATAATAAATAAGGAGCCAAAAAAGTTGGTAATTACCCAGCAGTAGTACTTTAAATATGTTCATTTTCATCTCCAGGATCATTATGTAAGCTGCAAAAGTTCTGGCCTGTGGTTCTGCACATTTAATAAGGCCTGTAAGGGATCTCCAGACCATTCATAGGCTGCTTGCTGCTGGGATTTCACTCAGCTGGTTCCTGTACCAGTGTTGCTGATCCACCTAATAAAAAGATGTAATTTGCCATTTGCTCTATTTAACCATGGGATTTTACATTCCCTGAAACCTCTGGAGTACTTACAAGGGCTCACAATGATATGTGTTTTTAGAATTCATTCTTCTTGTGAAGCTCCAAGAGCACATAGAGAAGATACAGTTCACACGTGCATCCAGAGATGAAATAATTTGATTTATAGTCCCTATATTGCCTTGAGAAATCTCAAATTTGCAATGTGTTATTTTCCTTGAAAGGATAGCAGTATATTTTAGCAAAGTTTTATGTGGATGCAGGGAGTAGTATAAATTACAGTATTAGAATCTTAGTGTTTATCTATACATATGCTGGTTCTGACACATGGTGTGGAAATCGTGTCAAACAGAAGTACCTTGATTGATATGTGTTTTTTTTTCTCTTATACAACTTCTTTGTAAAGCAGTGGGGTTTTTTGCTGTCCAGATCATTTTAGTCTAAGCCTTTTGGAAAATTCTTGTTATTTTGATACTCCTTTTGATTCAGTTTTAGCTTCTGAATGATTTGATGTTATACAGTGTACATACATTCTGTTTAGTTATATTACATTTTATTCAGTATGGTTATATTATTTAAATGATTTATCTAAATGATATATCTAGACTTCTCAATGACAGGTATTCTTGACAGTCTTTACCTTTAGTATCACACAGTTACTACACAGCATACAAACTCAAGCCCGCAGTCCCAGTGATCTGTTTTCATAAAGTATCTTTCAGAGTAATTGATTCTAGCTGAAAGGAAGTTCTCATATCTTTCCCCATAGATGTTATTCACAGCTCTATTCATTTCCTCTTCTTTCCTTGAAAGGTAGTAGACATGAAGTCACAATGAAGTGTCAGACCTCAGGCCTGATCTGTCATGTCTGTAAACTGTTTTAAATAAACTAAGATAATTTTTTATTCCATACTTTCTAGGAGTACAGCATAGTTGTGTCATTAAAATTATCAGAAATAACTGACATAGAAAAAGTCAATTACTTAAGCAAATTCAAGTAAATTGAAGGTTTGTTCCCTTCTTATTTTTGCACACACATGCTGTAAGCGTAATGGGTGACTATGCACTTTCTTGAATGTATACTTTGAGCTATCCTGGAAAGCTGCTTAATTTAAGCAGTTAAAATCAGGGTCTGTTGTACGTAACGTATACTGCCTAGAATGTGTTATGGAATCTCTAAGTGTATATAGACAACAGAATAAATTATGTGCTGCAGGAGAAAGTGTACTGTGACGAAAGCTCAGAGGAATGGGAGTTGACAGAACATAATTTTCAGGATTTAACAGGGGGTTCCTGCTTGATTTTAAGCCTTGACCAAGGATGAAACTGTAAAGTGCTATGACTATTCATTACTTTTTTTCCATTCTATTTTTTTTTTCTGTTGTAAAGCTGGAAAGATGGCCTTGGATTATGTGCACTTATCCACAGACACCGACCTGATCTTATTGACTACTCCAAGCTAAATAAGGTCAACAGTCTGGATGGTAGAGCATGTTGTCCTGCAGTGATTTGGCTCACTTCTGGTTTGCTCACTATGTTTTCTAAATGACAAGCTGAGGAGTGCATGCTAATTCTAACTAATTTTCTACGCTCGCTCCAAAAAATATTATTTGGAGGAAAGGAGGCTATGACAGTCCCTTGATCTTTCTTTCTTTTCCAGTACAATTACTTCAGTATTAATTGCAGAAAATCCATTTCTCAGCGGCCAGGCAGTTTGTCTTTTATGGCATGCTGTAAGGATGTTAAATCAAATATACTGGAATTCTCAATTCACATTTGATGCATAGTATAGGCCATTCTGCTATGTGTCCACTGTAAATAACTGTGTAGATTGCAGAGCAGTAAACAAGGACAAGATAATTAATTGTAGGATTGATTAGAACAAACTCTACTCGAGGAATATGCAATTGTTAGGATTACATAGAAAATATCCACCAGTTCTTACTTAATATTTCATTATACTTCTAACAACCCTTCCAGAAAGTGCAAAAGAGTTAGATATCATAACTTATTTAGGTAGCATCGCATGGGGATTACAGACCCATTTTGTTACTTAGAAAAATGTATTTGTTCTAAAAGATATGAGCTACTGTGGTTTAAGAGTGAGTAATGAAAATCAAGTAATCATCTGGGAATTTCTGGGTCATTTCTGGGTATTCTTAAGAATAAAAAATGAAAAGACAGTGGCATGTTGACGTTTCATGTTAGATCTCAATAAATTCGTATTTTTTTCTTCCTCCAAAATGAACATATTTTGGATTCTTTTGTAAATAACAGTGAAACAGAAAACTTAATCATGGATTTAATTTGTTGAGTGCCACTTTTAATTGGTGAGAGAAATTGGTAAATCATAGATAAAGTTTTTCATTCTGTGCCCCTCTGTGATAGATTCATTTTACTAGTGGAATCAGCTCTTATGAGAAAGCCTTTTGTGACAGAAAAGATGACAGAAAGAAGTAAGACAATTTGAAAACTTTGTCTGCTTTATTATATGTAAAATTTATTCTGGGACCCTCAAATTTTAGTGAAAATTAAATTAACTTAAACACACAGTGTTTAATTTAGGCAGTTGTTAAGACAACTGCAGACCTGAACAAAAGGACAAACAATAAACTGTCAGTACCAGATTATTCTCTAATGCTATATACAAACTTTGGTGTGGATGGACAGGTGCATGGAATAGCTAAGCTACCTGTCTCTGTATGTGTGCTCAAGCATGGCACAAACAAGTTAGTCTGATCAAGTTTGTGCTAAGAAAAATGGAACACAGTACGAAAAACTTCTTGGTAAAACCTGTCTACATACGAGTGCTAAGAAAAGGGAATAGCACATAAGGAGATCTGCTTCAGCATTACTATTTCCCTTTTAGAGGCTTCCAAAATAAGAACAGGTCAGGTTTCAAATGAGGCTGAGCTGTGGCACGTAAAGCACATGCAGAAAAATCCTAAAATAGATCTTGCTTTTCTGACCTGGCTGCATTTGACTGACTAGTCATTTTGGTTACATTAACAGCTGTCTTGGTGCCCTGTTTCTTGGTTTCTTATCTCTTGCATGCTGTCTTTTATTTTTCTCACCAATGTGCTTTGTGTGAATTTATAGCTGGAAAGATGGCCTTGCTTTCAACGCCCTTATTCATAGACACAGGCCCGATCTTCTTGACTATGACAAGTTAGATAAGGTATTTCTCTAGCTGTAGCACAGACTTTTAGTTACTGTGGCTTATAGTTTTGTTTAAAAGTATGGGTGATTGGGATCTCCAGAATCTGCTGATATTAAATAAAATTATTTCTTTATGGAGCAGCATTTACGTATGGGCGTAGTACCAGGCACACTAGGAGGTGCCCATCACCCATCCATAAGCAAAGTGTCTTAAGTCAGTAGATCTCAGATTTAGTGTCTTTCTTCCAATTTAATTTCAGTAAGAGGTTTTGTATACGCATTTAGTAAATGTTGTATTACACAGTGTCTGATGTAACAGCAGAAATAAGTTAATGGGTTTAAAATATTGTCCAGATTTCTTCTTATGTCAGTGATGCTCAAAACTGCTAAACAATGACAAAGTGAGAACTTACGATTAGAGACTTTGTGTTCCACTGTAACCAAATTGTTAGGGCATTATTACTTATGATACCTGGCATATATATGTGAAATCTAAGTAATTACTCCCATTTCATTATAGCTAATCTTAATAAGATCATTTCATAGTAACAAAAGAAGCATGCTTGAGTCTAGATCCTTTTACAGGGCGTGTTTGTATTCAAACAGAAGCCCTGTAAGTTCACTGCAGCAAACTTGTTAACTTTTTTCGAATCCCATCTAGCTTCTCCAATTTTGTTTCTCTGCCCCGTCTTTCTAAACTCTCTCTGTAGACGTTGACGTTGTTCTTAATAGCAGTGATCATTTAGCAGTTTTTGAATACTTGAAAATAATAAAAGCATTAATGTCACGAACTGCCATTTCACAAAGGATGTTTTTGCTCCAAGCTGATATTAGAAGTTTGACTTGAGAGCATCCCTCATCTGACATGATCTTCTGTTGTCAGCAATTGTTGTCTGTAGTGTAAGAAACAAAACGTGTGCTGTTTGACTGAACTTTCCCCACTGTTTCCTTTCTTTTTCCTTCAAAAAACAAAATCAAAATCTCTAAGCAAGAGAAAACTCTTGATTTTCAACAGCTCTAAAATTCAGCTTACACACATTAGTTTCAAATTTCGTTATCCAAGTCAAGACTAGGAGATTTTGCTCCTTTTGGGTAGCTGTTCTGTTTGTGATTCCCTTTTTCTATGCGTACGCTGGACCAACAGAGAAATTTTTATCACAATGGAATTTTTATCACTGTAATACAATGTTTACTAGGTGTCTAAGTGTGATGAACTAATTTTGTGATGAACAGTCAGTCTGCTATAACCTACTGGACCAGAGACCTTGATTGTATGTTTTACTGCAATGCTTCATTCAGAATTAGCTCTTTGTGAGTATACATTGAATATATTATCTACGTTTCCCTTCAAAATGTATTGGAATGTATTCAGAATTAGAGAGTTCTAGTTTCTTATTAATGTTTACCTTTGAAAGAATAGTAATAGATAGATCAAAGGGCGATATACCCATACTCTGCTTTTTGTAGAACAGTAGCTGTGATTCTAATTTACAATTGGGAAAAACAGAGTAAGTTTTAGTGCACCTATTGCAGTAGACTTGCTTCAAAGAAAAATCTGTGTTTTTGACTTGTTGTGTTTTCTTTTTTCATGTAGGATGACCCCATAGGAAATATCAACCTTGCCATGGAAATTGCTGAAAAACATTTGGATATCCCTAAGATGCTGGATGCAGAAGGTGAGAGCTATAGTGAAGTTTGCATTACTTATAAGTAAGAGATCATAAAACTTCTGTTGTTTTGTATCTAGCAAATTTTCAACATTCTTTCCACATAAATGGTCATAAAGAAACTTTTCTGCTTTGCTTTCGAAGTCTTTTCCTTCTTGTTCTACATATATTGGATAGTTTCACTTTTTCATCATGCCTTATTCTTTTGCTGTTTTTTGTACTTATTATAGCACTTTGGACCCCAAGTTTGGCACGTGGCTCCACTGACAAATGAGGTTCAAATATAGAATGAAAAGATAATCCTTTCCTATAAGAAAGTATAATCTATGATTAATAAAGATAATACAACTGTTAAGAGTTTAAAGCATATTTACATTTCTAAATGAGAAGACCAGGAAGAAGTAGAAATACCTTTCAAAATATACTACTGATAATGTCACTTCTGTGAAAGAGCTTGATTGAGGCAAGCTTGTTTTCTTCACATGTAGAATCATAGAATGGTTTGGGTTGGAAGAGATCTTTAAGATCATTCAGTTCCCAACCTCCTAGTATAGGCAGAGACCTCTCTCTAGACCAAGTTGATCAAAACCCCATCCAGCCTGGCTTTGAATGCTTCCAGGAAGAGAGCATCCACAAACTTCTCTGGGCAACCTGATCCAGTGTCTCACAACCCTCACAGTAAAGAATTTCTTCCTAATATCCAGTCTAAATCTACTCTCTTCCAGTTTAAAACCATTTCCTCTCATCCTGTTGCTTCCTGCCCTTATAAAAAAAAGTCCCTTCCCAGCTTTTCTGTAGATACTGGAAGGCTGCTATAAGGTCTCCTTGGAGCCTTCTCTTCTCCAGGCTGAAGAGCTCCAGCTCTCTCAGCCTGCCTTGTAGGGGAGGTGCCATCTGATCATTTTTGTGGCCCTCCTCTGGACCTGCTCCAACAGCTCTATGTCCTACTTATGTTTGGGGCCCCAGATCTGGATGCAGTACTCCAGGTGCGATCTCACTCTTGTCTTGATGCAGCCCAGTATACAGTTGGCCTTCTGGGCTGCAAGGGCACACTTGCAGCTCATGTTGAGTCTTTTATCAACCAGCACTCCCAAATCCTTCTCCTCATGGCTGCTCTCAAGCCATTCTCTACCCAACCTTTATCTGTGCTTGGGATTGCCCCCACCCAGATGCAGGACCTTGCACTTGGCTTTGTTAAACTTCATGAGGTTGGCATGGGCTCTTATGCCTGTCCAGGTCCCTCTGGATAGCACTGCTTCCCTCTAGCGTGTCAGCTGCACCATTCAGCTTAATGTCATCTGCAAATTTGCTGAGGATGCACTCAATCCCACTGTATGTGTCTACTAAGATGTTAAATAACACTGGTCCCAGCACCAATCCCTGAGGAATGCCGCTCATCACTGATCTCCAACTTGGATGCTGTGCCATTGACCGCAGCTCTCTGAGTGCAACCATCCAGCTAATTCCTTATCCAGTGAGTGGTTCATCCATCAAGTCCATTTTTGGACTTGACATTTGGACATTTATTTAATTATAAACTTTTTGCAGGAATCAATTTTAATGCATAGCTTCATTATTTGTTTTCTCCAATAATCTTTCAATCTGTCTACAAATAACAAGAAGGTACATATAAATGTTTCCTGAATTTCTTCAAGATAACCAGCCTTTTGTATTCCTGGCAAAAAATAGTGCAACCATACTGGCATTTGCTTACACTAGTTCAAAGCATTCTTCCCCAAGAGACTGCTTCTGGTGACTTGACAGTAGAGTGGTGATAACATGGCAATTATGCAAAACACACACAAACTCATCTTGTCAGCTTCCCTTAAAGTCTTTGGCAAGAAAGGTAGGCCAATACAGGATGAGTTTGAAATCCCAGTTTGTACCATCGTAATTGAATATTTTTTCTTACTATCACCTGCACAATTTGTTTTCATTATTTGAATTGCAATTCTCCTTTGAATCTCCACTTAATTATTTTATTCTGAAACACTGCAAAGAATAAATGGACATGATACCTCCTGAGTATTGAACATCTACTGTCATTTTCCTTTCACTCATCTTTCTCTTGACTTTAAATGCAGGAAAAATTCCTGCATTTAAATTCCTGCCCCTCTTTTCCCCACCCTCACACCCATCAGACTTCCTAGCCCGTTGTATTATTCTTGATAGTTATGTGGTGGGGAAACGAAATCATGCTTCTTCTAGCACACTCGTGAGTATGTCATCAATTTTTACTCTAGTATTTTCAATGGAAATGTGTTTTCTTCTGAACCATGTGACAGTGATTCAAACCAGTAAATAGATTGGTCCTGAAGTTAGAAAATCTCTTGTTATTATTAAAATTGTCATCTAATGTATGGATCTTGACACACTGCTATTTTCTCACTTCTACAGTGGCAGAAATCTGCAGTTTGCATAAGCATCATCCATCATTCTACCATAATTGTTGTAAAGCTACCTTTTTCTGCCTTTGTCTGTCAAGTAATCAAAAATGTCATTTTTTATTAGAGCATTCATGCCTCAGGCACACCCTCTCTATGCTTTTAATCTTCCTTGCTCTAATAGGGATAAAGCTATCAGTCAACCAAGCCAAACTTTTATGTGATTTATGCTGTTAACAAAAGACAGACTGGCTCAAGAATAGCAAAATGTTTACTATTCAAGCTTTTGTTAGCACAAAATGTATTTCTGAACTGCAAGAGTTATGCAGGTTTCCAGTATGCATTAGTACTTTGTCAGTCACAAGGATCCTTTGCTAATATAGTATATACTCCTACTTTGTGACTGTTGATGGCTGCATTTCTTGTAGTAGAATTACTGTATTGATTTAGATGAAGTTGCTCTGGAGTGGCAGTGAAACTGAATCCAGTAGATCTATGAGCCATGCCATCTGCTCTAGAAATTTCCCCAAAACAGATATTAGCAATACCTTTCTGAATAGTCTCCATCTTCAGATGCTATACCATTTCTAAGAGCCTAATGTATTCTCCATTTTCGATTCCTAAAGCTTAGGTATCTTCACAGTGAAATCAGTAAACTGAGTCAGGATGAAGGATGATATTTTTAATCCTTGTAGCACTGAGCTGGCATCATCAGCATAATCTAATGGAAGTACCTCATAAGAATTTCTGAGCAGTAAACCCTTTTCTCTCTACACAGATGTAGTAAACACTGCCAGACCTGATGAAAGAACAATTATGACTTATGTTTCCTGTTACTACCATGCATTTGCTGGTGCTCAGAAGGTGAGGTTGTAGATAGATCAGATCTCACCCTCAACCTTCTCTGTCATTTCTTTCAGCAATTTTTGTTTTCCCTCTCTTGATCTTTCCTTCAATAGTTCTTAGGACAGCATCTTAGATCCGAGCTCATTTCCTGTTGCCTGCTTTTCTCTGTGAGACACTGTCTCTGTAGAGCCAGTAGTAGTCTATCCATTTGTTCTGTAGATACAAACTTTCCTTTTTCATCCTCCTGTGTATTTACTGATAATATCCAGTAGGTTTTTGCATCTGATCACCAAACTTGGTAGGACATTATTCAATATCCTTTGATTGAACTTTTGTGCTTTGATTAGAAGCACTTTAAAATATTAGAAGAAAATAAGCTCACAGTGATAAAGCTATTCCAATAGCAGAATTTCATCTTTTTTTGCCTGCTGGATATTATTCTTGTTGCATATGTCAAAATCTTCATAACAGATGCTCAGAAAATGAATCCTTTTCTTATGCTTTCAGGATTGTTTTTTAAAATATTAAATACTCAATGGTAAGTACAATCAGCAATATAAAACATTGCTACTATACAAAACAGGGAGATATACCGACATCTCAGAAGAGCTCTGGAATCATGTTCTAATGAGAAGAAGTGCAAGTAGAAAAGGCAAGGCAAATCAGAGAGTTGGATGTATTTTAAGCATTAGTAATATAAGGATTACTGATACATAATGTTAAAGTTAAAACCGATCCATATGTAGCTTCCAGAGGAGATCTCCCCAGATCAAAATCTAGCTTGTCTTTTCTCTGTGTTAGTCAATAAGATGTTCATGCCAATTATTATGCAGATAGTCTTTTTAAAATTAAGGTAATTTCCTCTGTGACAATACTGCTAGGTCAAAAATTCCATATTTTTGGTAAGAATTTGCGTTGAATTTCTAGAGTATGGATTTTTTTTTTCTGTCTATGCTCATTTATTTCAGCCTTGTATACTTTCTGGAGTACCTCTCTGTACTCTATCTATGTTCAAGAAAACATTGACAACTATGTTGTGCTTTTATTTATTCTCCCTATCTTCTACTCTTGTACCTTTTTTTGTTTTTTGTTTTCATTTCTCCCCCACAATATAGATATTGTGAACACTCCCAAACCTGATGAGAGAGCTATCATGACATATGTGTCCTGCTTCTACCATGCTTTTGCTGGAGCAGAGCAGGTATTAATTGATTGTTCCTTCAGGTTGCTGTGTTTTTGCTTGTTTCACTTTTCCACTGGTTTATATTTATAACAAAACAAAAAACAACCTCCCCCTCAAAAGCCCCAAACTCACTAATTTTGTATTTTGTTGTTTAAATTAACAATTGCAAGTATTACTTGAGCACTAATACTTGTTTTTAACCAACTCTGAGTGTGTTTCAAATGTTGTGTAGCAAGTTGAACCATTTTATTCTAATAGATATTTGTGACTTTAATCTTGAGTGTCTTTGTTCAGTGATTGTAAAGACCATTTCAAAAAAGCTATTTGAAGATATGTGAAATGGAATTGTTTGTTGCTACATCAGCAACTTATGCATTTGCTGCATAAAAATATGTTTGACTTTTGGAGACAGACTGTTCTGGACTTACTTTACTCATGCTAAGTAGTAATTTAGGGCTGCCTGGAGATGTGGAGAGGAACGGAGGTTGTTCACAGCAGTATTTGCACCCAGCTCCTACTGAAGTCAGTAGAATTATTTGTAGACCAAAGTGTTGGTATAAGAAACAAGAACATCAACAGAAGATCTATCATACAGGATGGTATTATAACAAATGTTGCATTTCTGACTGCTCTATTTCTTACATTTCTAGACTACAAATGGACACAATCCAACTTACGTAGAGAAAAAAAATGCCTTAAAGTAGTTAATATTTTTCTTTCTTCCTCAGTGCTGAATTCCCCTTCCTCTCTGGCAGGCCTCCTGCACCATATTGTAGCATAGCTATGCTGTTGTCCACTCTTCCATCTGGGTGTGCAGATTTTGCTATTAATAGAAAAGAAAGCTTCCAAATACTATTTTTAGTTGATTAGATAAACTTCAGATTCACACTTGCATGAAAGTATAAATTTGTGATGAAGAACTATTAATGTCAATTTTAAATATGGAAGAGTTACAGTGCTTTCAGAAATAAATTTGGCAGGAGTCTAGAAAAGATTTGTTGTCAGCAGTTAGTTAAGCTGCATCTGTTTTCAAGGATGTATGTGCATGTGGGTTCCTTGAATGGCATCCAGTGTTTCCTGTGTAGCTAATAAATATAATATCTCTTTAGTGTGCTTTAAAAAATTAACCTAATAGGGTAACTTTAGGAATGCCTTAAGTTGCTTTTGAAAGTAAATATTTATTGAACAATTATAATGACAGTGTGAAATACCCCCTTGTATAGTAAGGCTTCATTGTATGACTCAGTGTCTTATCTGCCAATCTATGCCTCATTTAATACCACCAGAGTCTGTGAGTACAGGAGGGTAACCTAGAAGCGTAAATCAACAACTATAAACCAATGCGATTTTTATTTGCAGCTGCCATGTTCTCTTTCTTTCTCCAAGCCTGTACCTTTCTCAGAATGTTTACAAGTATGTCCTGTTTATTTGCTATTTTTATAGGCTGAGACTGCAGCAAACCGGATCTGTAAGGTGCTTGCTGTAAATCAAGAAAATGAGAGGTTGATGGAAGAGTATGAGAGACTTGCAAGTGAGGTAAAGACATCTTTTTCTGTAACATGGTGATAATTACGTTTATGAAATACCAAAAGCTGAAAGATTCATGCGCTGTCTGCAAGACAGAAAGTGAAAATATCATGAAGGTGAATCTCACAGTTGTAGGGTTCAAAGTTCACTATCCCCAAAATGTTAAATCTCAGGTCATTCCCTTGCCACAGATTTCCTGTGTGACCTCCAGCAAGTTATTCAGTCTTCTTTTTTTGTGCCAAAAAGGATGTTTTCAGGACTGTCGTCAAGCTGCTTTAGGGCTAAGCTTGGTGTCTCCATAACCTCCATTGTTAGCTCTTCCTTCACCACGCGTGGAACATACAGAATTCTTTTACTCCAAGCATGCCCGTTGACTTTATGTACTGCAAGCTGCACGTGGACAGGGTCTCAGGGTGTTCACAAAACACCTGTGAACACAGGCATCCAATGAATGATCAAGGCACACTGCTTGCGTTGTTTCCGATTATTACTGGAAGATTGCTTTTTTTTTTTTCAAAACACATGTAATATAAATTTTCTTCACAAAGTATATACTGCAGACTTTATGAATCAGCTCCTCTTGTCTTTTGTTGGCAAATTTATTGTGTCAGGACTGCACATATGTAATGCACAAGTGAGAGCTCCTTTGTCTTTATTATGCACAACCTCCAAAAACATACACAGATGATAGACACAAAGAGAGTAGTGCTGAATTGGTACTATGGACTTCTGCATAAAAATATTTACATGTCTTGAGTTACTTGGCTGATGTCCATTCTGATTTATGAACTATGACTGCTTGAGACATCAGTACCAATACTTTTTGAGAGTGGTTAGTGACACAAGGGTAACTTGTGTTTTAATTAACTGAAGTCACTTTACATGCATGTCTATGTTCATACCCTGAAAGTGAAGGTGTTTCCAGAAGTATCAAGAATATCTGAGAAAGTTAGGTTTATTGTTCTTTTGAGAAAATGTTGTTCTTACTTGCCATTAGGGCCCTGACTCCAACTGAAGTTAACAATAGTAAGATGAAGCAAACATGATGAAAACTTATGCATTCAGTATTTTTTTTTTTTTTTGGTTGCTCTTCCATTGCCTTAATTTCAATTGTTTGTGTTGATTTGAAAGCTTTTAGAGTGGATTCGCAGGACAATTCCTTGGCTGGAAAACAGGACCCCAGAAAAAACAATGCAGGCCATGCAGAAGAAATTAGAGGATTTCCGGGACTACCGCCGCAAACACAAACCTCCCAAAGTTCAAGAGAAATGTCAGCTGGAGATCAATTTCAACACCCTGCAGACAAAACTGAGAATCAGCAATCGACCAGCTTTCATGCCATCGGAGGGAAAAATGGTTTCAGTAAGTAAAGGAGGCATCAACATTCCATTCTCCTTTCTACCAACGTTCTCACAAAAATTTCAATATGAAGGACTGAATTACCATTTTGAGTCATCCTCAAACTTTGGTTTGCTGCTCTCTGTCAATATCAAACCACTCTCTTAAACATTCCCTTTCATTCAAAAATCTTTCTTTCCCTTAAGTATGCTCCTTGCTCTTTTGAACTCTCCTCAGTAGCAAACTGTCTTGAGACAGAGCTTTCTTTGGGCATGTTAGTTTACTTAACTACTTTTTTTTTTTTTTTACTTAAGTAAAACTTTTCACTGACATTTTGCTCATCAGACAGAGAGAAACAGCTGTGGCTCAAAAAATGCTTCTGTTTTTTTTCTGAAGATAATAATAGTCTTACTCTGGGTAAGAACATTTCTTGTTTTTGCCTGTATCTATACTCTGTTGTAGCACTGTACTTTTGTTGCTTAGATTTTACAAACAGATGGTGCATTACATGCAAAGAGTGTCTGCCATGCTGCATACTCAGAAAATAAGGGGTCTCTCACTTCAGTTTCCTTCTCCTGGCCTTTGAGCTTCTAAGGAAAATCTCAAAACTTTGTACACCACAGAAAATGAAATGAATTTGTATTCCAGATAAAATAAGGATCAAATCTTCTTGATACTAATTGTTTTATTGTCTGCTTCTGAGAGCACAGCACATTAATTCTGACAACAGACAACTACATCATAAAAGAACATGTACTTGCAACATGAGAGGTAAAACTAATGTATCATGAAGACACTGAACAAACAATTTTGCTTGAAAACCATTTGTGTAGAGGATTCTTTCATGATCCTGAGCTCCCTTGGTTGGGATGCTTTTGTCAGGTGCAGTTGTTTGGACTATCTGATTTCCAGAGCTGCCTGACAACTGACATTTTCTAAGATTCTGGTATTTGGCAAAATCTGAACATCCTAACTTTTCTTTTTGGAGGAAAACTGTGAGCAAGTCAGAAATCTGCCAATTTGGATAAAAAAGAGATTATAGTTTAATTCACTCTTTCACATGTATTCTCTTAACAGGATATTGCTGGCGCTTGGCAGAGACTTGAACAAGCTGAGAAAGGCTATGAAGAGTGGCTGCTGAATGAAATACGAAGACTGGAAAGACTTGAACACTTGGCTGAGAAATTTAGACAGAAGGCTTCCACTCACGAGCAGTGGGCATATGGTAAGCAGAGATGGCTTGTAACGTTTTTCACATTTTAACCTTCAAGGTTGAACTGTCAGCGATGGATGTTTGCCAGCCAGGGGCACTCTAGAAATTAGCTTGGACAGCTTTAGAAAAGTAAAATGCTAACAGATAAAATTGGAGGTTCTCTTGCCTACAGTCATGGTCTTCATTTGTAGGCAAGTTGCTAATGAAATATAACTGTGAAAATCATACTCTTTTCTACTAAGGGAGTGAGTCAAACCTAATAAGACTATCTAAGAAATGGGTAAAGACCCATACTGGTAATGCGAATGCATTTGTACTTGTATGTACATACGAATGCATATGTATTTGTACACCAGTGATCCAGCCAGGAGTGCAGTGAGTACAGAAATTCAGTCTTCCATTTTGAACTCAAAAATAAACTGGGATCTAAATGTGGAATTACTAACAGCTCTTCTGGTTGGTAATAATTTGGCCACTTGATTTTTAATAGTTCACATAAACTGCATAATAACAGACTCACTTTTGCTTAGCTCCATACCCTGGATTATACCCCATGTGTGGCTCTGTTATTTAAAGATAGCCTAACTTTAGATGTAATTGTAACAGCTACAGGACCACCTCTTTTACAACACCAACATAACGCCAGTAAGCATAGTGACACTCTATCATCCTTTTTTTTTTTTTTTTTTTGGCTCTGACAACCATTTTCCTGTTTCTGCCTCACTTTTGGCTGTTTCCAGCTACAGTCTTTTCACACTGTGAAAGTTAAACTGAGGCTATCCAAATAACACAGTTGCTGGAAGCGTGCGTAACAGTAAAATGTTACCCAACAGATACTAGAAAAGAAACTACAGTGTTTATCAGCTCTGTGAGCCTATTTTCTGAGGATGTTCTACTCGTGTTGACATGGTATGGCTACTATACAGGGAAAAATTCACATAAACTTGTACATAGCAAGTGAAACAACAGTCCCTTCTGGCTCTAGAATCTGAAGAGCTATGTAATGTCATATGGTGAGATGCAGTTGTACAGGCTATCTGTATAGATTATTGTCCAACACAGGAGTTACTGAGGAGCAGTATTTCAGTTTCTGATTTTGTTTTTGCTTCTCTTGCAGCTATGTTGGCATTTTCCACTTAAAATTCAGTAATTGATACAAGATGGAGCCGTGTGTCTCTAATCTAATTTTGGCAGGAAAGTGCTGAAATTAATAATGAATAGTAGGAGTGAAGCTGAGCATAGCAGTGTGATTTCTGATTTTGTAAATCAGTAATATACTCTAAAAGATCTGTCAGAATAGTTTAGATCCTTAGTTTTTGCTAATATACCACTTTATGCCAGTTTCTCAAGTAATGCAACACTAGCTATTTTAGACACATAATCATCTTGTGCAATAATCAAGGGATTACTGAGAGATCTTTAAAAATATTTTATTTTCCTAATTAACACTGTTAGGCTGACAAATTGCCACTCATCTTATACATGTGCTTTTGACCATGCCTCAGCTAAAAGAAGTTGACTGAATTTACTATTGTTCTAACCAATAAATTAATAAAAACAGACCAATAATTTAATTTCCTGTTTCAGGCAAAGAGCAGATCTTACTTCAGAAGGATTATGAATCTGCATCTCTGACAGAAGTCCGTGCCATGTTAAGGAAACATGAGGCTTTTGAGAGCGATTTGGCTGCTCACCAGGACAGGGTGGAACAGATCGCTGCCATTGCCCAGGAGCTGAAGTATGTTCCATTTAAAGGCTTGCAGCTGCTGACATTTAACTTTGCGATAAACTCTTTCCAATGAATTTGATAGTGTCATAGGTACCAATGTAAGAATTCCAGAGATAGCTTCATAAGTATATTATCTGAGCTGGTCACTGAGACCTTTCCCTCATCTCCCCTCTACTCCCAACCAAATATAGACATGCAACTGACCAAAAATATTTGAAAGCAAGCATTTTCAAATTCAATTTGAAAATGATCTTTTCTTTCTACTAATGAGTCCATTGTGTGTTCATGGGAATGCTGGAGGTGTCTGTTTCTTAGTTCATGTGGTCTGCTGAGAGGTACTGGTTATAAATTGTTAACTTAGAAAAATAGCAGTTAGACAAATCACAGATCAAGCATCTTCAATTTAAAATCTGGTGTTTTCCCACAAGTATATTGGTCCTTTAAAAAGACTTGATATCCTTAAATTATCCTTTCTGTATCGGTATTGAGTCATGCAATGACATCTCTGAAGATTTAATTGTCTCTAGTATACTCCAAAGCAAGCAAACACACAACCTTTCCTCCTCACTCAGCATTTTATGTCCAGAGAACATAGCTGAGAACAATTCTACAACTTATTTAGCTATATTGACATCAACTAGGTAGTTCAGAGGTGTGAAAAACCAAGGCCCATGCCTGACAGACGCTTTGTGGCAACAGAAGCCCTGTTGGTGCAGTTACTGTGGCTAGGCTCTGTTTTTAACTGTGTCTGCTTTTGTTTGTGGAAAAGCTGTTAATTCACATGGGTGGAGCACAGTTTTGTCAGCAAAGCTCTGCCCACAGTGGCAGGGCTATAGTGTTAGATGATGATGTCTCTGCTCTGGTAAAGTCATTCTCATGTGTGCACCAAGCTAATAAGGACATCTGATTTTATAATCTTATGCAGTTAACTGCAGTGGTCTTGTACTGTAAATCAGTAGCACTACTCCTGATCTTAACATCTGGCACACAATTAAATTCATTGCTCACCCACAGCACAAATCTGCAAAGTCAACAGGAACGTGTGTTAGTGGTTGAAAGAGGAGCCAGCATAAAATTCCCAGACTCTTCCTCGTGGCTTCAAGCCTCCAAGTTTCAGTTTCTTGACTCCTTGAATAGACAAAACAGCTAGTACTCAGAAAGCAAAGCAAAAAACATATCCTTTGTTTTTGTTTCTTACTTTGTAAAGGACCTTAAATCATAAACATCTCCACATTCATTAACCATTAGAAAATCAAAGAGCTATCTAAAAATGTTGTTCATACCTAGTAGCAGCTGCACTTATAGTAATTATATAATTAAAATGAATTTAGAGGAAAAATCCTATCTTTAAGAATTGGTTATATGAGGAAAAGAATAGTACGGTGGGCAGAGTAAATAGTGTTAGTATGTAGTTACTGTGTAAGAGTAGTTAGTATGAAAGAAAGCTCAAAAACACAGAGGATGCAGATTTCACTGGTTATTGCAGCTTATGAAACACCTTCTGACGTATCCTGATCTGTGCTGTAAAGTTATTTGTTCCTTTTATGCTAGAATGTTTCTGAAACACCTAATCATTGTTAATTAAGCATTAGCTTTGCAAGTGATAAAAACTTTGCGAATGTAGTATATGTAGCACAGCATCTGCTTACTAGCATTTTGAACCCTGTGTCCTTTACCTTTGCTGAGGCCAGTGAACACTGTATCACGTCTATTTTAGGGTTGTCTCTTCTCAGTTGTTTCAGTAATTTGCTGTATGAAGTTAAACAAGATATCTGTGGCCTTGACGCCAAAGGTGCTGAAAACCTACTGCTTTTAAGATGCTCTACTTTGACGTCTTCTCTAATCCATACAATACAGCTATCAGTCCAGTATTTTCAATATTCAGCACTGGTTACTCCCTGAGACTTTGTAGCTCAGTAAGACTTATTGCTTTTGGAGAGTACTGAATGAAAGGTTATAAATGCCAAGTTTTATTATTGGCTGCAAGCAAATGGGCAGCTTATGTTTAAATGTTGATTTAAATTATTTATCCACAGCACAGTTCTTCAGAGAGCCATTGAAATTATGGAGAAAAACTAATTTCTTTTTCCAGTCATATTTTTTCATTGAGCAATAATTGAATGCTAAGGAATGTGCATTGGCACCTTATCCAAAGCCTAATGAAGTCAACGTGGTTATCTTATTGTTGGGGTTTTTTTTGGTCACTGGATCAGACCCTTACAGGAATCATCATCATCTGAGTCTGAATTACAAGTCAGTAGAACACCTCTTTTTTTTTGCTTTAGTCATCTCTTGTCTGCCTAATGTTACTATTTGAAACTGAACAATTGTTATGTAGCCTTGAACCACAGCAGTTACAGCATTTTTTTTATCTGCTCTGGTATTCTTTGCTGCAGATTTAAGTCAACCATGAGATAAAGTTGCTAAAAGTTTGTTGATTGGTGTGCGTGTCTGTGTGAAGCAGGTAATACAAGCCAGGATGCTGCTATAGGACTATTATGTGTTCTAGCCTGTATAGGACTGGAAGTCCTTGCCAGTGAAGTATGGAAGGACTTGGTTGGCACTGTATACAAGGCTGGAAAAAAAAGAATTAGGGATTTTTAAAATGGGACTTGCCATTTGTGACATTGCAAATGCTAAACAGGACTAGAGTGAGTCATTCATATGAAATGCTGAATTCACCTATGGTCTTATGTGCTCAATGTTTTCAGTAATCAAGATAATTTTTAGAATATCCATCATTTCTAGTGTAGCAACTTATTTTCAGCCACGAAGACAACTATCTGTAGTTGTTTTGAAGAGTCTTTTTACTTCTGGAAACCTGGGCTCAAATTGTGCTTACGCGCATGGTATTATAACATGAGCCTGGTTATGAAGCAGTGCTAAAGCATGGTGCTCAGCAGGTTATTTTTGTGACACTATCATGATTCATAAAATGAGCTCATACTTAAATGCTTCTCTGAATCTGGACAAGATCTACTAAATTTTTAATTTGTTAAAGGTAAGGCTGAATTATATGAAAGATAAATAAAAATAGGCTCAAGATTTTTAAATTCCAAAGGCTGTAGATCTCAATTAAATAGGCTGTTCCTGGAAGTTCTGTAGCCCACGTGCATCAGTGCTTTGTTTATACTTGATAAGAAAAAAATGGTAATAAGTAAGAAATCCAGTGTCTTCACAGCTTGAATGCACGAATCTCCACATTCCATCTACTTAGTGAGCTCACAGCTCACGTAGGATCATCTCCTAATGGCCTCAATATGCTAAAATGCAAAAAATAACTTCCATCTGAAACATTCTAGCAATAAAATATCATAGCCTGTTTTATCCAAATGTCCAAGCTCCTGACTTAAAATTTCTTAACTAATTCATGTTTTTTACTGCATTCCTGGAAGGCTAACAGAAAGACTTGCTCCAGAGGAGGAAGCAAATTTTTAAGTTAAGGAGTCCTTGTATAGTGTGTGTAGTCCTTGTGGGCAGCTCTCTCCTTATACATAATGGGATTTTTTTTACAATGTTGAGTTATTTTTTTAATTGCTGTGGTATTCTATTTTCACTTGTTTTTATCATTTTTTGCTTCCAAAGATCAATTGATTTCAGCACGTCTGAAGCCTCTTTTAAACAAAATGATCCAGATATTTCTCAGCTTTATCCCTAACCATATTGTTCCTACCGAACTTAGAGGAAAAAGGATAAGCACTGCCCCTGGCCTACAGGGTACCTTCACAGAGGAAAACTGCCTCTGTGATTCTCTAAGTTACTGGAGGGAAGCAATCTGAACGTTCCTCTTGCCTAGAGAAGGATGTTCAAAAGGATAGAACAAATTATATCTGCATTTAACATCTTGTTCAAGCCTTAGAGTAAATCTTAGCTTCTTATTGCCATACTGTCACATAATCACAATCTCTGCAATGCTTAGTACTGTGCGAAATGTCCTCAAGGAGCAGCCAAGAGCTGAATTCAGTGGATGATGATACACTGATAAAAATGAGCTTCTGAAGTGTCTAACGCATATTTTATTATGGTCATGATGGCTACAGCAGAACCACAGGGATTATCTGTCAGTGAAACCCAAAATTCAGTTTGAAATGGTGTAAAATCTCATGACAGAGCTTAAAAAGTTAGTGCAGACGGCATAGTTTTCTGTCAGGATAATAAAAGCATATTAAGTAGTTGAAAAAGCAGTGCTAACTGCTACATTCCTTTTGGGAGGACTAATTTGCACTGGCAGAAAACCTGACTCTGGAGATTCCTGTACCTAACCAGTTCTAGTGTGTGAGGAGTTCCTGGAGAGAAAGATGAAAATTGTTTCCTGTGCCCAGAGCTGGGCAGCCCCTGTTTAAGGTGGATTATGCCTTGAACACAAGCTGAGATCTGTTTCTCGGTTAAATGCATACGTTGCTCTGAAAGTAATGCCTCCTATTTATTCCCATGAAAACTACACCAGATACAAAGAGCATAACAACACTAGAGCAATTTCTCAGCTACAAAACACTATTTTTCAATATAGTCACCATTGCTTCCTGTGCATTTTCACCAGTGATGAATAAGAGTCTGCACAACACACTTGTAAAAATCTGCACCAATGGAGGTGACCGACTGTTGCTGTTACCACAGCTGCAATGCATCACTGCCTCACTGTGCTCACATTCACTATTTGGTCTCTATCAATACTCAGCAAGTATCAGTGAATGTCAATGGGTGCAACTTTTTTTTCTGCATGGAGGAATTCAATTCCACACCTTTGCTTCATACCCACTTCCATGTCAGACACCGTTCTATCAGACTGCCCTTCTGCTGCCATCTGTCACACAGCAACAACATGTAATGGAATGTTGGTGGGAAGGTTCAATTTCTACTGCCATACACTAACATCTGCTACTGACATTGTGGACCAACATAATGAAATGGAAGGCATTGCTTTTGGAGCCGCGCTTATAGTTACGCAATGTGTTAGTCTGGAAAGGATCACTGGATTATTTAGAATAAAGCTAATATATTTCAGGCCATTTAGTTTAACACTACCCATCTCCAGGAAGGTGATAAAGCCTCAGACTGAAGGAGAGGTTGATTCTGTTTCTGTGCTGTGCTTCTTGAAATGTGGCATGTTTAAATCCTACATGTCTACATGCAACACTTGCTTACCTGGAGGAGAAATATTGCAAAAAAATAGAAGGGAAGAATTATTGAAGGGCAGTGGAATAACATGCACAACTGTTCCTGTGTCTCAGAAAGCTGCTCAGACTTTTGTCTTCACTTTCTCTTAGTGAACTGGACTATCACGATGCTGCAAGTGTCAATGATCGATGCCAAAAGATATGTGACCAATGGGACAGCTTGGGAACACTTACTCAGAAAAGGAGAGAGGCACTGGAGGTAAACAATATAACAATGATCAGCTCAGCTAAGAGGGTGAATTTATACTTAAAAGAAATGACTAAAGCAAGATTAGCAGATTTAAATTGATTTGCAGATAGATTACAATATCAAAAACAAGTCATTTCATCTGCTAGCCTTGAAAGGCATACATTCCTTTTAATGACTGATATAAAAGTGTCTTTAGTACTATTGCCATAAAGCAAGTGGTGAAATCACTCAATTATATGATCATTTGCTTTTGAAAAAAATGAAGCATGACTTTGTTCATAGGAATGTGTACAGAATTAAGTCTTGCCTCTAATAAAAAGGAATTTGCCTTTCCCAACCTATACAGAGGACGGAGAAATTGCTTGAAACAATTGATCAGCTTCACCTGGAGTTTGCCAAAAGAGCTGCTCCTTTCAACAACTGGATGGAAGGTGCTATGGAAGACCTACAGGACATGTTTATTGTTCATAGCATAGAGGAAATTCAGGTAAATGGTTGTCTTTTTTTTTTGGCTTAGTCATAAGAAAGACAAAAAAAGAATTTTTTCTTTCTTGGAGAGTACAACATAGGTAAGATATTCTATCCTGACATTCACATTGTGATAGGTGATGTCTATAATGAATAAAGTTATTTCTTGATGGGCATGAAAGTATTCTAAAATCGTAGAAGAACCGGTAGTGTTGATAAAGTTAATGATGGATTTTTCATAAATATATCTACATGTATTATTTCATGCACATACAGATACATGTAGACAGGGTGTCTGGGAGTCTGAGAGAAGGAACTGTGCTTATTTACAGCAGATCCTCCAGATGCTGGAAGGAAAATTAGAGTTTTTATGCTCTCCCTCTCTGTTTCTGATTTTAGAGTTTGATCTCTGCACATGATCAATTTAAAGCTACTTTGCCAGAGGCAGATGGTGAAAGACAGGCCATATTGTCAATCCAGAATGAAGTTGAAAAAGTTATTCAGAGTTACAGTATGAGAATAAGTGCAAGCAATCCTTACAGCACCGTTACTGTGGAAGAGATTCGTACCAAGTGGGAAAAGGTAATGTATGCTAAAAGCATAAAAGAACGTTGTAACATAGCATTTTGATTTAGGAATACTGAGACTGTTAGAGAACTTAACAATAAATCTGTCAATTTTTCTAGATCATCAAATGCCAAAATGAACCAGTTTCTGTTTTAAAACTGGTGGAACTGGAACAAATTAAATATTTCCTCTTAAATATATTTACTAATGTGGACAGTGGGAAGAGGTTGCAGCATAAGTTATCACTTATTTCACTACAGGCATATTAAATGCAATTAAAAATATTTTGCATCCATAAAGTGAAAGTAATAGATTGTATGAGAAGCTGATGTTGAGATGAAATAAATAGTAGAAAGATAAGTTAGCTTTCATAATATATTTTGAAATATTTCAGTGATTTCATATTATAACATAGATTCTAGTTCTGTAGTCTACAGTTTTCTTCAATCATATGTGTAGTTACACTGAGAGCAAGAATCCAATTGTAGAGACTGTTTCTATTGGTGTCAACAACAAAACTTTTGGAGGTTTCATCTGCATCTAAACAAATTCCTTCTGTGATCAGTAGTGTTAATTAAGCTGTCTTTCTGTCATTTGTCCTATACCTCACTCCAAATCCCGTGCCACTCATACTGTTGGTATTCTATATATTCCTTTACAGTTTCCTTGTAGTATCTCTTAGTATTCCACTCCTAAATTAGTTGAAACTTCCTACAGTATGCTCCCCATTTATTTGCTGGGCTCACTTCACAATGTTTTCTGCTCCCATCACTCAGTATTACTTAGGACTTCTTTTGGCTTCTTGATGAGGCAAGAAAAATGTGTTGGTGCTAGTACAAGAGAAGGTGTCTAGGCAGTGGGTAGGCCAGTGGTGCTTGCCAGAACAACAGAAGATTACTGAATTCTTTTTCTCAGTATAAGCAGTAGTTCATGTGTCTCTTCTACCCAGCTTTTGCTTTTCACAAAAGCTGTAAAAATCTAGCATCTTTGGGACTATGAATGTACTGTCTGGTAAAACTGAAACAGGCTATTAGTTTAAAAAATTTCTGGAGAGGGATTAAAGAGAAACTTTATTTCCTTAGGAACCAAGACAGATCATTTGCTAAAGATAAATGATTTTGTAGAATAAATGAATTTACAAAATACCTAAACTTATGTGGACAAAGACATGATCTTTGTGGGTTATAAATACCATGCAAAAAGGACTAAATTCAGAATGTCCCAGGGAAGTCTAGAAGGATAAGCCAAAAAAGTATTTGCAGCATATGAGATACCTTCAGGTATACATTAAGGGTATCTTAATGGCTCTGACTAAATGAAATATTTTCCACTGTTTATTCTTGGAACTGTTCCTTAGAGATTGAATGTTTTCTGTGCTTCCACAGAAAAGCAAAATATCTGCTCTAGCAGCAGTTCAAGTTAAACAATCCTCCTGAACTTGAGTCTTGTCAGAGGTGAGAAATTCGGTCTCTGTAGTCAGGATGCCCAGGACCCTGGGAGCAATTTCTTATGTTAGCACAGAGGTAAATATAACAGTGATAGTTTTTCTGGCTTGCTCTGATGTTAATCTTCAGGTCAATAAGAAAAATTAATAACTGTAGGGCTTATTTGTTCTATTTGTTTTACAAGTATTCAGTCATGAATGTTCACACCTAATTCTTTCTCATTGTAACAGGTGAAGCAGCTGGTACCTCAGAGGGATCAATCCTTGCAGGAAGAACTAGCCCGCCAGCATGCCAATGAACGCTTGCGTCGCCAGTTTGCTGCTCAGGCCAATGTCATTGGGCCATGGATCCAGACCAAGATGGAAGTGAGTATCAGACACTCATGCAGAAGCTGATGAATAAAGTGTTTTATCATTTGTTATCTTTGTTGTGTGTACAAGGCATCAACAATGTCCGTGATAGTTTGCCAGCTGTTTAATCACAAAGAATTTAGTACCTGTTGATTCTTAGAACTGTAAGATTGTGTAAGTGGCACCCTTGATGGTTAGTAGGACATGTAGCTTTGAAAAAAATATGACTAAACAGCTATTTTTCTTCTGCTCTTTACAGAAAAATATTGGGATCACCAGCAACTCAATATTCCAGAAATAAACAAGTCACGTTTTTTTTTTAAAACGAGTTTTCTGTAGTAAAGTTTATCATCTCTGTAGGAAGATTTTATTACTTTTGCTTCTTAGTCTAAAAATATTAAATATTTTTGTGAAAATGCAAGTCAATTTAGAAAATCTGAAGCTTACATTTTGCGTGGTGGGGGGTGTCTTTTTGCAGGAAATTGCCCGCAGCTCTATTGAAATGACAGGGCCTTTGGAGGACCAGATGAATCAGCTGAAGCAATATGAGCAAAATATCATTAACTATAAACACAACATTGATAAACTGGAAGGAGATCATCAGCTTATACAAGAAGCCTTGGTGTTTGACAACAAACACACCAACTATACTATGGAGGTAAGCATTTACTCCGTTTTGTACTTGTTAGCTCGTTTTGCCATCTTCTTCCTTATAACTGCCTTCCCTGATCTGAAGACGCTGCTATGAAGGATGAGATTTGGCAGACTTTCTGATAATATTGTAAAACTTTTTGTCACACATTTTATTGTCACACATGCTGATGAGAATGGTCTAGTGCAAGACTGGGAAATAAGATTTTTTTAAGAGCATTTCCTGAATCTGGTAAAGGTGGAACAGGAATTAAGTGCTTATTAGTGGAATGTAATTGACTTGATTTCTCCTCTGGTTTGCTGCAAACAAAAAAGTTAAATGAAAAATATAGCTCATCATGAGTTGTTTTCCTTCAGATAAACAGTAGTACAGTAGTGGATTTTTTTTTGCTTATTTTTTGTGGGTTTTTTTTCTGTGACAAAGCAATGTTTCATCTTTACTAATTTGCTATGAGAATTTACAGATTACCAGTGAAGGTCCCAGTGCTGCTGATGCGTAGGAGGACAGTTGTTATACACACTCATGGGAGATGCCTCCTCAGTTTTAAAGAATGCTTTCCATGTTTGTAAAGTGACTTATGAGATTAATTATTTACAGAATGTTGGAAAATGGCTGAAATTGGTAATGCAGAAAACAGTGTTGTTTGAATACAGCCTCTAACTAAACTGAGATGATAGAAAATAACAGCACTCAAGTCCAAGTCTTATCATCCAGGGAACACTTGCCTATAATTAAAAAAAAAAAAAAAAAAAGAAAGAAAAGTACCCATTTAGAAACCAGTTCCATCTTTTCCTGAAGACTTTTTAATGACCCTGAGTTATGATGTATAGCTAGTGGTATGGATAAGGCATTACATAAGTATTTAGTGCTGGTTTTTGCTGACTGTACTTTTCATAGTTTTAGAAAAATATATTTGACCCTTTAATGAATCAGTCTTTTCTCTCTCATAGCATATCCGTGTTGGATGGGAGCTCCTACTTACTACCATTGCTCGAACTATCAATGAGGTTGAGACTCAGATCCTCACAAGAGATGCGAAGGGTATCACCCAGGAGCAAATGAATGACTTCAGAGCATCATTCAATCACTTTGACAGGGTACAGTACTCCTACCTTTTCTCATCTAGCAATATTCATTGTTCCCAAAAGCAAGTCTACTTCCATTCCATATATAATCTTAAAAATCTGCTAATGCAGTACCAATAGGCTATTTTAAAAATGGTTATAAAGATCAATTAACAAACTATTTACAACCTTAGGAAATCTTCCCAGAATACACATACCCTACTCTCTCTAAATGTAATGTAAATTACAGTTCTGCTAGTATTGTTGAGTACTTGTTCAAATAACAGACAAGATTGGATACACTGTGTTTTGGAAAATAATGTGCCCCTTTACATTAAGGCAGTGCAGCATGGCTTCCACTTAATTAAACTTAGCAGTAATCTTGATTACAATATTTTTGTTTACTTCTTTGAATCACAAGTTGTTGCCCTGATAGTTGCCTAGGAAAATCCTTTATTTTCCTGTAAGTGGGAAATAAGAGTCTGTATGTTTCATTTATCTAATAAGTAATGAATAAAAAAATAGGAATCAAAACACTTTTATGAAGAAACTTAACTCACCCATTCTGTGATTTATACATTATTCACATATATAGTGTTAAAAAGAGATCTATTTATAGAAATAATAGCAAAAGAATGGATCTAATATTCTCAGTTGGAGAACCATTTTTACATGAGTTAGATCTACTAGCTCTGCACTCACAGGAACACCACCTTCAAAACTCAGTTCACATTTCAGATGCTGAAAAAAGATTACCATAATCCAGCACTGGGCTGCTCTCTTTATTTCAGTATAGATTCCTGTAGTGAATCAGACTGTGATTAACCCCTAACTTGCACTGTTATCATGAGTCAGCTCCTTCAAATTATTTCAGGGTGTAGAAAATGCCGGTTTCTTTTCACCAATATCTTATCCAGCTCTATCCAAAATGGTTACCCATACTTGGACTTGATGTGTGTTGGACACTGACAGTCATCATTTAAGTATTTTTTAGAATATTCTTAACTGTTCAGGAAGAAAAGCAGAATTCAGGAAGAAAAGCTTTTTTGATGAAACACACAAGTATAGAAAAGGTAAGCTGCAAAGGAATCAGGGATGGATTTTATGGAAAATCTTAATGTGATTCTAGTGCAGCATAATTCTTTTTTGTATAAGCTGAGGAAGCTGAAGATACCATTACAGAAGCAGAAGTAGCTTTCTTGGGTAGAAAGAAATATATTAAATGGTTTCCCCAGTGCACTGGAGCAGATGACTGAGAAATTGGAGCTATTAAAAGCAGAGTACCGGTCTGGATAAATTACACATTAGTATTTAAGATGCCCTATTAAGGGAAACTTTGCATGAAGATTTGACAGCTTCCTAAAGGTAAGGAAGCAAGGTAACTAAATCCTAGAATAGATTATAGTAGATAGCCATTTTTAGCTATATCTTTGTAGTTCATAGATAATTCTCTGCCATGCTGGCAGCAAGGCTAGTTCAGTTACCGAGGAGTTACTGTTGGCATCTTTTGGTACCTTAGAAGGTCCTGAAGGAAGATGCTAACTCCTACAGCAAGCAGCCCTATTAGGCATCTTAATGCTTTGCAGAAATAAAAAGAATTGGAGATACCAAAGATTACAATAGAGCAAAGTCTTAGGAAGGGCTGTATTACCTCAGAGAAGGTGTCACAGAGTGATAATCAGGCTGGAGATGGGCCATGACAATAATGTACAATGCAGAAGTGCTTCTCAGCTCCTAGATTTCTGCCTACCCACATCTGTGTCCTTCTCCTCTTTATAAGCAGAGGTGTAGCTTCATGCATGTGCCCTCTGCTCTTTCTTCTGTCACAAGAAGCCTGAACATGAGTCAGATTCTCCATTATATTCTACAACCTCAGCAACCTGGATCTGAACTGCAAGTTTAGCTGCACACCTTACCTGCCCTCATGTCAGATATAATCCAAAGGCCTTAAAAATAGTCCCGGAATGTTCACATTAAGAGAATATGTTGCATATGTTCCCTTTAGTATGCTCCTCCCTACAGAGATTGAAAATTAGTCCAGGAGGACTTCAGTGCTGTCACAGTAGAGCAACTACATTCTTAGAAGCATAATGTAAGTTTAAGAAAGGGAAAAAATAAGGTCTAAAACCACTCGGCCTTCAAGCTTTCTGTAAAGGACAGACAACAGAAACACTAAAAAAAGAGAAGCTTATATCGATTAAATTGCACTGTAATTTAAAGAGCAGATATGACATGATCTGCACAGGCTAGGAGGAGACACCAAGCAAAGATGTCTGAGAGGAGCAGGCTTGTTTTTCTTTTTTGTATCCTCCTTGTTCCATTGCACACTTGAAAATTTATTGTCAGTGAATGAAGAAAACCTGGTACGCTTCAGGGATACTTCTGAGTACATGAAATAATGAAGACTCTAAACTTGGAAATTGGATAGAGAGGGCAGGAATTGATTTTTTCTTTGTTTTTTTGGTTTTGATCACCTCAGAGGAATGAAGATGAACATAAGTACTAACATGAAAGTACTGACTTCTCCCTGTAAGACAAAAAAAAAAAAGCAATCATTTATACAGTATATGTAATAATTCTGTTGCTCGTAGGAGCATTTCTGTACACCTGATGTAGTTTAAAAAATACACTGAGAGAATTAGTCTGCAATTCATATTGATGAATAGCCAGAAAAAAATTTAAAAACGAATGCTGTCCTTGTCCATGCTTTAAATACATGAGCACAACAGAGTCATTTTATGCATGCTATAGCTCTTATGGTGGCATTTCTGCTGTCTTAATGTGTGTTGAGGATGTCAGCAAAATACTACTGTGCAGAGCCGCTCCCTTCTCCATTGTAAAGAATCCATATTAGTACACATAAACCTAACAATTTCTTATAGAGTACTTCTAAAGACAATTTGCTTTAGTTATATATCTGAGGAAGGACGCCCTTTCTTCCTCTCCAGGAAAGAAAGCAAATAACATGTATGTGTGGTTTTTTTAGTTTATAATAAATCATGGGGCTTATTTCTGTACTTGCTAGCTCTTTGAAAGATAGCTAAGTTATTGTTTTAAATGGCTTCTACATCTTGAATATTTTGCAAGTTTTCTGGGGAGGCTACATGCCCCTGACCCCTAAAGTACACTGAGTAAGGAGGCACCATGCATTGAAGAATAGTAAGGGCAGAAAGAGCTTGTGTTTCTTTCAGTATATCCACCAGCACAGCTATGCTAGTACAAAAATTGAAATTAGTACAAAAAATGACATTAAAAGTCATCTTGTTAAAGTCAAATGGTAAGTACATTATCTCCCTTGAGGCAAGGGGGCAGCTCTCTAGGATCTTCTCTTTTCAATTGCAGGCTGATGCCCCAGAAGTTATTCCTGAGGGTGATGCTGCAAGGTAACTCCTTGCTGGAGGCTATGCCTAAAGGCACAGTCTAGTTGAAGGTGTAAATATAAATCTTTAGCGATGCTGGTATATTTCTTCTCTTAATGTGTTTGCTTAGAGGAAAAAAAAGAAAGTGAAACACAATGGCTAAATCACAGCAATTTAGAAGTGTTGAAAATGGTGCATAGCTGAATAATGGTATGCAGACAAATTGGGACATTGAAATAGTTATGTTGTTAGTCACTGATTTTCAAGTCTTTTAAAGTAGAATCCTTTTTCAGATTCAGGATATTTAGTAGATTCTAAAAAAAAAATGGGATAAAATGTCTGCAACTGCTTTGCATGCAATATCCAACTGGCTGTTGATTTATTCTACTATCTATTTTTGGCAAACTACAGATTTTAAGTAGGAGTCCTGCACACAGAACAAGAGCATCCTGCCACCCTTTATTTTACTAACAGAAAAAAACAACAGTTTCCCATTAAAAGAACCACATGATCAAGCCTATACAGACCAATTAATATTCATGAAAATGAAGCACACGTGGAAGACGTATTACTTTCACTTAAAATCCCACTTTTTATATAAGGCCACATATAATTCACACAGGAAAAGGAAAGGTTCTCTGGGGACTAATAACGAAACAAGGTGAGATTTCAGTGTTTTAGTTTGTATTGACAAGAAAAGATAAATGAGTCAATTATTTAAATGCTTTACAATGATAATTTGAGTACTTAATGTTGGTTTCTAAATAATGCAAAGAACCATTTTCCAATGAGTAATCTACTAAAGGATGTTAGGGGACACTTAACCTAGAATTTAATAAGGACTCTTTAAAATCAGTTTTCAAAGCAAAATTTATAGATCATTAACGGACTGAAAAAAAGTTATCAGGTATAAATTTCTTTTGAATCTAGGCAATAAGTCAGTTGTTCTTTTATTTGACACATGCATATTCAGTTTCGAAGTAATATCAGATCAAGAGAGAAGTAACAGTGATTGAGTGTGGAACAAGGTTTTGTACAGATTCAGTGATCTGTTTACTGCATCTCAGATACACTGTATGGCAATAAAAAATGGAAGCAGCAAATGGTAGTTCAGTAGAATAAAAACTCCCTTATAAGCAGAAGTGTTAAAAAAGTACCTGTAGAAGAAGCACGATTTTAACGTTGTAATTGAAGTCAAGCTCCTCTTCCACTAAGGAAAAAACTAAAGCACAAAACTACAAAAGTTTTACACGTTTTAGAAAATTAATTGCAGTAAGTTAACATTACATTTCCATTAAGTTCTATAAACATATAGTTATTAATAAAAATGTAGAATGTTCTTTACTAACCAACTAACCTGGTCTGTGATTTTTTTTTTCCTTCTTTTCTTTTACCTTCCAAATGCATGACGTGTTATGGGATGCTAGGATGAATCTGACAATCTACATTCTGATGAATTTAAAGCCTGTCTCATCAGTCTAGGACAGGTTGGAAATGACCTGCAGGTAGAGGAAACTGATGTTATTCTGTTTTTAGATAGGTCAATATAATAGTTTCCATTTATGAATGTAAGCACCAATGTATACAGCACAATGCTTTGAAAAGATCCTATGCCTGGGAAGGCAACTGGGTTAGATGAACTCTCTTTCAGCATACGTTGGAGCCACGTTTCTCTGTGCATTTCAAACATTTTCTAGGCTGCTTCTTTTACTTGATAAGAGACAGCTGTGGAGAACTTTTGGCACCCAGACTTCTGTCCATTTTCCTTTCCTCAGTCTCAGTACAAGTCCTGTAGTGTTCTCTCCTTATTTAGAATGATACGTTTCTTTCTAAACCACTGTATTATACTGCAAAACAGAGGAGATGTTTATTTACCTTATTACTATTGTACAGTTTATAAGCCAGGAATGCTGCATATGAGTTACTGCCTTTAAAATTAGCAATCTCCTTTTATTTAGAATCTTCCAGTTACCCCCTCCTAAGTCTTAAAAGTGTCACCCTTTAAGCCAGTATGTTCATTTCTTTGCTATAGTTCAGGGCTTGATAGCCTGTAGTCAGAAAAAGGAAAATCTCTGTATTTATTTCTCATATATCAGCAGACAGCTTTTATCATGTACATTTCTTAGCCTTGGAGTGGAGTATTTTAGTCAATGATACATTTCAGACTGTTTTTAACTACACTTATATTCACTACACTATCAGCAGAACCTTCAAAAGACATTGCTTATCGAGGAGGCAGTTTGTTGCATCTCCTGATTTTGACTAGTTTAGTAACAAATTTTTCTCCTTGCCTTTCTCTTTGTCTTCTCTGGTTGTGCTCTGTGTATTCCTGTGTTCTCCCTGATCTCTCCCCTGACTTTTCTTAATGTTACTTCTTGTGTTGAAAATGTCTGTTTCCTGTGTGTGATATGTTAGTTACTTCTTCCTTCTCTAAAACTGATGATAATTCTGATGACCTGCTTGGGCAATGTCAATGAATACTGTTTACACTGGATCCAATTTCCCAATGGCCTAAACTCATCTCTGAAAATGACCGTGGATGCTTCAAACCTTCCCATCCATATTCCTTATGTTATTTTGGTCAATAGAGGAAGAATGGACTGATGGACCATGATGATTTCAGAGCTTGCTTGATTTCAATGGGTTATGATTTGGTATGAATTTTAAGAAACAATGGCAATCGCTTACAGTTTGTAAAATTAACCAAAGCAACACTAAAGCTTATTTGGGTTGACAGAATACTAATAATACAATTTACAGTAGAGATACTAGTTCCTTGTTTGTTTCTTTTTTCTTCTCCACATTCCAATGGTTAAAAGGAAGTTAAATGTAATACTAGACAGTACAAAATTCTTTTAATTCTTTTAATTCTCACAAACTACCTTTGGGCATTGCACTTGATTTCCTTCAGTTATTTATTTTTATAATTTCCCCCACTCATAACAGTTTGTTCTTTGTAGTAGAAAGATCTGCATAAGTTGAACTGTCCAGTATTTAGCATGAAATTTTCAGATTTTTTTCTTAGTTCTCAGTTCAATGAGGCTGCTTGTGGCTTCCTGGGATATTTTTTCGCCTCCCTGTGCAATATCTTAATTACAGTGGGAACATTACTGATTTTAGGAGGGGGATGAGAAATGAAGTGTTAAAACAAGTTTAACAAGTATTAGAATGGGAAAGAGGAGAAGTTGAAGAAAGTTAATTGAAGGTAAATGCTATGTATTTGGGACAAATAATATTTTTTTCAAAAACACCAGGGCCAAAGATGAGTAGTCACTTAAGATCCCAGATTTCACTGACTGTGACATTTATGTTCCTAAGTCAGTAAGATGCTTTAGAGTAGCCACTGCTCCATATTGGTTCATGAGAGGTATGGGCTGTCAGAGATTGATATTACGGTGACCTTTCTTTTTTTCTTTCTTTCTTTCTTTTTTTTTTTTTTTGCTTGTTTTGGATTCTCTGAAAGGGCGAAGCTGAGTTTGCTAGAATCATGTCTCTGGTTGACCCCAATGGACAAGGAACGGTCACTTTCCAGTCCTTCATTGACTTCATGACCAGAGAAACAGCAGATACTGACACAGCTGAGCAAGTGATAGCTTCCTTCAGAATCCTGGCTTCAGATAAGGTCAGTCATCTAGCTGCTGGCTGTAAGGACTCAGTAGCTCTTCCTTTCAGCCTTTACTTGCAGAAAGCCTTGTACAAGGTTTTTAGTAATAATAGAGCTTTGTTTTCAACTCATAAGGGTTCAGAAAAGCGTCTACCTTTCTTCTTCTTTGGTACCAACTCTCTTAGATGAAATGTGTACAGAATTCAAGGATTGATCTGTATCCCCTCACATCACAAAGAGCTGACAAAATCAGACTTCTTAGACAATACTTAAACAATTTTGGTATAACTGCACAACAAGCCTATTTCCGTACAGTAGCCTTAATTAGAAGGGAACTCATTCTGCATTACATCAAGTTGTCTGAGTGTTTCAGTGTAGTTTGGCCTTGGATCATAGCCTGAGTCAATTGCATAAGACTTCACCTAATTGTGAGCCAGATTGTGACCTGACAGCTCGTTCAGCAGGGTGATGCAATGTGGCATTATCCTATCCTAGGAGGAGAACGCTTCCTCTAGTTATAGGGTACATGGAAGAAGATCCTGAATATAGCATGCTTTCCTCCTGACAGCAAGACCTACTGCTGAGTGGCAACACAGCAGCCTCTGGAGGACAGAGGGCTCCTGCTGCCGGAGAACCCATCCTGTGCTATTGAGAAATGAGAGATCACAGTAGTGATCAGTATACATCGGTATACAGTAGTATTTGCCCAGGCTTACTCTATTGATTTTCTCAGTCTGGCAGTTTTTACTGATTTTGTGATTCAGTTATTATGGACCACATTCGAAATTCAGGACATGTTCTCAGCACAGTTACTGTGGAACACATTTCGAATTCCAGATATGTTCTCAATAAGAATTCATATGGAAGATGAATGAAAATGTCTCAGAAAAATACAGTTTTCATTATGTTGTTATTTTAAACAATGCTGATTCTGCTAACAGTTGATATGAGTGTATCTTTCATATCATAAATGCAAATCATTAAGAGTAATAGTGCATCTTTCATAATAAATGCATTAGGCTGTTGAAACTAACAGAGTCTAACTGAAAACATGTTGGTCCTATCACTGCAGAAGCAGCAGTGAGGCACTCTAGGGATGAGCTCCTGTATTAGCAGCAGGCTATCTATGGCTGCATAGTACTCACTAGCTAACACACACAGTTACACACACTCCAACCTGAGACTGGATTTTGAGCTAATCGGTTTGTTGATAGGATTGTCTCCTTGAACTCATCATTAAGAGTAGAGTTGACCAAGGAAAACATATGGTTTCGGAAAGTAGGCAGAACATCCAAACTTATTAGTCACATCATGAATATATTTGATGTCTCTGAAGAATACATACTGAATTTGTCCATCATTTTTCCCCTCACAGCCTTATATCCTGGCAGATGAGTTACGTCGAGAGCTGCCTCCTGAGCAGGCTCAGTACTGCATCAAGAGAATGCCACAATACACGGGCCCAGGTTCTGTTCCTGGAGCTCTGGATTACACCTCTTTTTCATCAGCATTGTATGGAGAGAGCGATCTCTGATTCTATAATTGGCTATATCCACAGTAGACACAACAAATACCACACCTGATTGCCCAGATTGCTTCTCAAAAGGTTTGACAAGCTGATAAAAAAAGGAGTTTTACAAATGCAGTAGGTACCTTCATTGTAAAGTTCTATTACTAAAGTAACTAGTGTATGTTAATGTGTGCAGCACGCTAGATTTCTGCAATGTTGGTTTTAGGTTGTCTGTCCTATACAATGCCAGAAAGTATTTAAAGAAAAAGAAAAAAGAAAAAAAAATGCAAGTTATTAACTTTGGAAATATCTATTGTGAAAATAAAATGCAAGACCTAAGAACATTGAAACTGTCGATTGTTAAGAATCACAAAATATTTATCCATTTTTCAGAATGTTTCAATGCCACATATGCTTCTTTTAACAGCGTTCATAAAACTATCTTAAAATCACACATTTTACTTTCATGGAGCAATGTTATTTTCCTCATGTTTTCTGATATTACATGCTTCTGCTGGTGAAATTTAGTAAAATGTTAAAATGAAGTTTTTCAGGGAAGAAATATATCAAACAAGTAACTACTTAGTTACTGAAACAATTAAGAATGTTTTTGTCTCTTAAAGATGGTTTTATATTCTCACAAAGAATTGTAATATAGGTGAAAAAGGCCTGAAAAGCTGATTAAAATTGCAGGTTTAGAGTTATGTAAGCAGTGCTTTTCTCTTAAGCCTTTAACTTTTACAGCTGAGAGAGTACAACTTTTATAATCAGAAATAATAGGGAACCTAATTTTATGTGAGTTGTTTTGTTTTGAAACCCTCATTCTTGTCTGTGTTGGACAGTCTTTGTTTCTTGGTATAAGAAAGCCAGTCCCTTGTTGCATTAGTGGGAAACATTCATCTCCATTCTGCATAATGCAAAATCCCATCTTAGCAAATGTATTGTAGTTGTCTTATAGCTTTAACTGTTCAACGCTCAATTTACAGTTTGTCTTGATTTCTACTGGTTCACAGGCAGTTCAGTCTGTATTATTGTCTTGACTTCTGCTGGTTCACAGGCAGTTCAGTCTGTATTATGCTCCTGTGCACTAGTAGTTCTACTGTCTTTTTTCCATCTTGAGAAATTATTAAAAAAAAAGCAGTAACTTTTTTACTTGAATCCTACTGTCACTGAGGAAATGCAATGTAATCAAACAAAACCATTTACAAATGGTGAAGTGAGTTGTGCAGCCCAGTGCTATTAAAGCAATGATGTGCCTATTAAATAAAGTCTGCTTTTCAAAACCTTATGAGACTTCTGTCATTGGAATCATCTAGTATTTTCCAATAAGGACTTGATATGCATCTGAAAATTAAAGAAAGTTTGTCTGTTGAAAGTAAGAGTTACAAAAAATGTACTTTTTTTGTACATTTCTGTACACCGCTGGAGATGCGCTTAAAGGCCCCATGAGGTGACATGGATCTAAGAATGAATGGGGTAGTGTTACCACTGAAGATGCTGGTATTAACATTTCTGTGTACCTCTTTTTCCTCATGCATGAAAAAGCAATGGTAAGTACACAACAGTGCTTTAGTTGGGCCTTGCTTTGATATCTTTGAGTGGGAAGCATTAAAAATAATCACTCTCTGTATGATTTCACTCCTAAAATAAGCATTCTACAGGTAAGATGCCTGTGGTGTGAGCAATTTTAAACTAACCCCAGAGGAAGACAATGACCAAGTCACTCTTCCTTTACCACCTTGTGTGGAGAGGCCAGCAGATGGCTTCAGAGGGAAAATCAAGGCTAGAATCAGTCACGTCTCCACCAACACAAGTGCAGCCTTGCATGCTGCCAGAAGCTACTACCTCTACTACTTCTGCTACTGACATGGTGCAGCATTGTTCTCTTTTTGTGATGACAATGCCCGTACAAGCAGAGTTTGGAGAGTCTGCCTAAGAACAATGACATTTCCAGCCAAATGGCTTTTGGGTAGGCCAAATCCTATTAAAAAATAAATCTGTCTATCTCTAATTGTCACAGTTTAATGCAACTACTGGGACAGTGCATACTGATGCCAAAGATTTATTCTGTCTTTCTGCTGTTGCTATATCTCTGAGAGCTTTTTATTTTTTCTCACTAGGATCTACCATTCCCATAAATTCTCCTGCATGCTATTGGTATGTTTAAAATAAGGGAAAAAAGTTTGCTGTTTTTTCTTTCATCTTTTGCAAACTGATCCTTAAAGCTTTTGTTTTCAATTATTATCTCTTTATGTTTAACCTGCCAGAATTTCTAATTTCATTTTCCTCGGGCAATCCAAAACAGAGGAGATCCTACCTCCTGTGAGATTAAAAACAAACAAACAAACAAAAAAAACCCAGCAGCAAAACTCAATAAGGAGTTTTAATAAACTTTAATAAGGAGTTTTAATAAACTCTGTAGTGATATTGATTATCTAGCTGAAAACCAGTAGTGTTTGGTGGATGCCTGAGTGACCGTGATGAATAGGTATGGCAGACATAATGCTGTCAGACATTAAATTGCTGAGATACTACCCACCTGCATTTTTGTGATCCACTCACCCTTAAGAAGACTATGAACTCTCCAAATTCAATATTTGGAGTACAAATATTTCAGAGTAAATAATTGGAGTAAATATTTTTCAGGAAAAAAAAAACTGAAGGCATTCATTTATGACTGACCCCATTTGACCGCCCTTCAATTCTCTCTTTTCTGGGTTGATTTTTCATTAAGATGTTGCTTCTTCAAGCCAGGCCAAGTGCACCGGTTGCCCAGTTGTCCTTATTTGCACAGAACAGTTGATAGGAACAGCTATAGCAGAACAAATATTCTGTCAAAGTCCTTTTGGAATAGCTTCTCATCTCAATGCCTAGCTGAGAGTAGTTACCCCTTTTAATGACGGTGGCACTTAAGTGTTACTCCACAGACAGAATTTTCTTTGGCAGAGGCTGATAATTTGCCTTTTCTGAAGGGGCACAGCTCTTCATGCAGCTTTCCTGTTTCTTCACAGATTACTCCTTTCTTTCTCAGACACCAGCCCCTTTCTAACTTTTTTTCCCACTTCTAACAGCCATCCTTTAGATTTTCCTGACTGAGAATGCTAACTTAAATCTAGTTTAGTGATCTCAAGGTTCCCTTGAATATGATTTTGATGGGGGACACTTTATTTCTGCTTGATCAGAAAGAAGTTATTCTTGTTTTATACAGAGGCAATAAACAAAGTACTGTTCCCTTTGGTCTTACATAGTATCCTTAGATTTACCTGCTGTGCTTGGAGCACTCTCTAAATTAGACGCCTTGATGTGCAGAACTGGTAGTATGCTTCTGTACTGGCTGCACATGGAAAGGCACCAGTGCACTGTGTGCAAAATGAAGGTATAACCAGAGACAACCAGCACTTCTGGCACTGAAATCCAGTGCTTGTGGGTAGTTCAGCTCTTTGCAGCAAAGAGGGGAGAGGAGAATGGAGCCTGATTAACATTATCTGCCAGCTTGTACCCTCCTCATATCCTCAGATGGCTTTACCCTGATCTATTTGCTTTCATGCGTGTAGAAGTACAAATAAAAGAGTCAAGAAGGGAAGGGAAACACAGGATATTTTTATGTGCTATAAAACTCAGAGAGACTGTGGGCAGTCTCAAATCTGCTTTCTCTTATAGTCCTCTGAAGGCACCTAGGAGCTCAGATCATCAGCAAAGACTCTTATTATGTGTGGTGCTGTACAGTATGCTAAGACAATCTAAAGAATAAATGGGACGCAGCAATTCTAGTTGACATTTCTGAGGAATTGTCAGGAGATCTTAGACTGCTTAATACATTGCAGACTGTACAAGTGTAAAAGCCCATAAATAAACATTTTAGTTTTAGAGGACAAAAAGTGATGCCAAAAAACAAAAACCACCCAGCACAAGTCAAAGGGATTTATTGTACATCATAGGCTACAGAAGAAGCTATTTACATTCACACCGAAAACCAAGCAGAGAATATGACCTGACTGTTGTAAGTAAACATAGGCTGTAAATATTAAGCCTTTAGAGTGACAAAGTGCACTCAGTTGGCCGTTCCCTGACACCTCTTTTAATATATGAGTAAATTCATATTAGATCAACTAACAAAAGAAGGAGTTGTGCTAGAGTAAGGGTCCCTATCAGTATCTCCTGTTCATGCTTTGGTTACTGCCTGCAGATGCAAGAGGCTTCCTTACAATGCTGGGTGAGATGTAGAATCAACACCGCCCGTGAGTATTTCTTCATATCTCAAGACCTGTAAGATTTTCAGCATTCTGCTCTCCTCTCTATTCTCCTACCTGGAATGAATTGAATGCATTAGATGAGAAGGGATAGCAATGCCTCAAACTACTTTGGAGAAAAAGGATATTGTGGTCTCCTGTAAAAAAGGGTAAAGCAAATGTGACAGCTATGACTGTGATCATAAGCAGTTTTCACAAAGGGATAAAATGATTAAATCTAGCAAGTTAGACTTTAAACCAAACTGATGAATTGTGCAGTTTCAAAGTCCTTTAAAGGAAAGAGGATTGTCTCTAAACACACTTTTCTAACTGTTGATAACATGCAGGATTGTTTTTCTGTGCAAGTCAGACAAAGCTAAGTAGGACATTGGTCTTTCAAGGTGTTTTACACACAAGAGTTCCCTCTGCCCTTTCAGAAAATCTGTAAAGGTTTGATGTTCAGTAAGAGAAAACTACATTAATAGAGGTTGTGCCCCCCCTGGAATGGAGCCTTGGCTGAGAGCTGGGAGTAGTTCTTGAAGCTTCCTAGAGCTAATCATGTTGTACAACCTGCAGGTGTCCATTTTTTTCTTCTCTGTTATGCTTTGTCTTTCCTACCAGTGCAGAATACACACAGTTGTAGTACGTATCTTTATCTGCACTTCTCGTGTTTTCTGTTTTTATTATGTGGCCAGACCTTCCTACAGTACTCCTCTCTTTTCATGGATCTCAAGCTGTGTTGAATACAAGATGATGTACTTGGCAGGTTGAGTGTGGTGCCATTTCTAGTGCACAGGAGCACTAGACTTGGACTTAGGCAGCCCCCTCAACTTGTGTCTGCACTTCTGAGTGAGTCTGTTTACGGTTAAGGCCCTAAATACACCAGTGGTCTCCAACTGCCCTGAGAATCCCCACTCCTTGCTTGTGCTATGTTATGCATGTGCTGTCTTGTATAGTCTGTGAGACTTGGCCTTGGCCTCATCTCATGAATACGGATTGTCAGCGTAGCGTGCACTGGACCATTGGCTGAACCTCCTAGGATCATTGGAACCACTATTTTTGCTTGGCTACTGCAGAACTGTGTCCTTGCCTGTGAGGTCACTGCTCCTGCTTGCCTCCTGCTCCACAACAAAATTCCTCTGAGCTCAATGTTTACCAGCTTTTCCTTGGGGCACACGTCCAGCTGCATGTGTCCTGAAATACACACTGGCCCTATTCCTCATTTTCTACGCTGTTCTGGGATAGCTGGCAAGCCTGCTTCTTCCTCTCTCTTTTATTGATTTGATGTGGATGCCTAAAGACTGCTACAGAATTTTATGATCATATGAAACCTGTAACAAACTAAAAGCAGTCAACACAGCCTTGTGCATCAGTAAAGATAAGCTGTAAAACTACATTCCCTTTTGAATTCAACTCCTCTTTGTGTTTGCATTTCAGCAATTTTAGGCATTTATACACTTTTTGATCGACTCAGATTCTGTAAAGAATTGTGAAAAAAGAAATTCAGTTCACTTTAATATGTTAAGTGTTTTCAGAGTGATGGAGACTTCAAGTTTTTCTTAAAATAGTGACGTACAAAATCTATTCTGTGGTAAGTAAATTTGTTGATATTCCTCTAAAATGCATAGGCTTAATAGGTTTAACTGGAGTTTGCACAGAACTGATCTTGAAGCCATCAGCTTTCTTTTGGCTACTGGTAATATTTTGATACTGTGATAGAAAATGTTAATTTGACGTAAACACAGAAAATCATTTGTATTTGGCCATTAAGATCACTCCGTAAGTGATGGGGTCTAGAAAATTAATTATTGAATGGAAATTGAATGCTTCACTTGGATATAATCCTGTGAAGTGTGACTGTTCTTTGTTGACAAGAATAATCCCACTGTTCTTTATTTATGCGAATATTGGGTCTGTTGGCTGTAGGAACAGAGGCAGGTAAATACAGGAATAAAATCCATTGTTTGGTAATGAATACTACAGAGGTATTTAAAACACACAGTCAAATGCTAAAATAGCATCCTGATAGTCAGTGTTTGGTCCTACCTACACAAGTGTGCAATGTGAGAATAAAGGTAGTGTGCTATTGGCAAAAGAAGGTGGGTGCAACTCCTTTGGATAGTCTGTAAGTAGAAAAACTGCTGAACCAGATCTCAAAATACAAAGACTGCTTTGCTTGAAACACTGCCTGTTTTCAAAAGACCAGTAAGTTTAGTTGGGTGCAGAAGGTGGGGAAAGAAGTAGCTTGAAAATAACTCCAAATATAGTTGAAATGCCAAAATGTGATCTGACTTGAAGATTTATTTAAATAAGGATATCTATTTTGATTCAGACTTAAATCCTGTTGCAATGTTAGCTGCACTGAAGTATTCATACCACCTTCAGAAACCAGAGTGCTCAGCATGATGACAGATGTTTGCATGCATGATAGTGTGTGCAACAGATGTTTAAATAGGGCTAACTTGGCAGTGTTACATTTGGTTCTGTTGTTAGTCTCAAGCTGACATAGGAAGCAATTTTTGTGAAATTGCATAAAGGAATACAGCTTTGCATTACAACTCTTTGTAATCATAATATGACTATGTTTTCCCCACATGAAACAGCTAGAAAACATCAGCAGTCTACAGACTATCCAAAGGAGTTGCTCCCACCTTCTTTTGACAGTAACACACTACCTTTATTTTTGGAGACATACCAGCTTTTTATTTATTTATATGCTGACAGTTCAACCCAATAATAGGGCTCTGGTGCAGAACTGACTTCAGATAAGGTATTTGAGAACTTAAGCACTTTTACAAAATGAATATTTAGTGTCATGTTTATTTTTTGCTACCCTTAAATTTCCTAAAATGAGGTCCAGAATACTTAACAGCCACTGCATTTGTTAGGTCGTGTTTGGGGAACAAGCAGTTTCCAAGACCACTATATAGGTTACCTCTAAAGACTAAATAATTCCAAGAACGATGCCAAATTAAAGTTTAATTTGACCACCCATAATGCTCCTAACTCACCATCCCAAAGGGTGTGCTGGAATAGGACGCAAGATTTTCCCAGATGATGGTACCTTTATGTTCTACTTTCCTTTGTCCCATTGCTCTAGCAATTCTAAGCTGCATCTGGTGTTACTCTAAATATCAGACAGGGAAAAGTGCTTAGACAATCTAATTTAGCAAAATGACAACAGCACTCCAAAAGACAAAGCAAAAGCACTTCTCAAGGGTAAGGGCATTCTCACTGCAAGTTCTTGAAGGTTTCCTGCAAACCAACCCTGCAGCAATATAAGGACAGTGACACACACACGACTCTTAGCACTGCTGAGTATAGTAATCACTGAAAATAAGTAAAGATAAAGGACTCAGAATCTTCCAATAAGCATCACAAATCATATTAAAGGTAATGTTTCTTCTAACTGCTCCCTTGTTGGATGATCTGGTTTGATAATCACTGCCCTCAGCCAGTCAGTGCTCTTCCCCTGAGCCTCTGGAGAGTATCTTGCATTGGTTGCACTCACTCAATTGTCCATGAAGCACACAGATTAAGCAGGATCTGAGAGTGAGGTGCTGCTGCCTTCTCTTCCTACTACTGTCCTTTCCTAGCTCTGGACACTGTACAGCTGCAGACGAATCAGACTGGAGAACCGTTCTCACTGAAAATCGACGTTTAAGGAAGTGCCCTGTGAAGGCTAGAACCTGCACGGGGACAGGCATGGGAACATGAGAATGGAGCAGGGTAAAATTTAGGACTGTCTTTTTGCAGTGGTGCATTGTCAAACTGGCTCAAACTGGTTGTGAGACTGTGGAGTAAACGGGACTATGTGAAATGATCCTTTTCGGAAGCACCTTCAAACTTTCAGCTTTTCTTTTTCCTTTTTTTTCCCCCGCTGACCTACTTTGCAGCAGTTATACAAACAACTGCATCAGCGCACGCGTGGACGTGCTGATCTGTGGTGCAAAGATCCGTTGCCACAAAGCAACTGTGGAGACTGAGCTTGTTAGCCTGAACTGCTGTCAGAGAAAAATCCCATAGTGTTGTACGGCATGACAAAAAGGCTGGCAATTGTAGAAAGTCAAACAAGGAAATATACTCCCCTGAAATCACCTGATTGAATGGTGCTTAAAGTGTTGCTTATCTCCAACAATGTGTGAAAATTCTGTGTGAAAGTGGTAAAATTAACCAGTCTACAGAAGTAACTGATTTCTGTACATTATTCCACCTCCTGTGTTACACTTTTAAAATATATGAGTTTCCAGCCTATCAGCAACTTACACTGGAATTTCAGGGCACATTTTTGCAGTGAGAGTTTGGGCTGATCACTGGACTGGTTTGCTCAGAGGTCAGGTCCACTCTTTGCAAATGTCATCATTCAAAACCAAAGCCTGGTCTCTCAATGCAAGTTCAACTATGTCCAGTTGATTTTTAGGCTTGACTGTATTTCTTATGAAGTTGAATTAGACATATATTATTTAATCAGAAAGCTACATTTCTGTATGTACTTGCATCACCATTGACTGAAGTGAGAGCTGATTTAAGTTTCTAGATCACATTGGACTCAAAGGGTTTGTAACCAACTGGTTTTATATCTTAAAAATTTACTCTCAAAATTTGAGTGTAAATATTTAGCCTGTAGGATTAATCCAACCAACCATGTAGGATGTCCATGAGCCAGCAGTGTGCCCTTGTGGCTGAGAAGGCCAACGGTATCCTGGACTGCATTTGGAAGAGTGTTGCCAGTAGGCTGAGGGGAGGTTATCCTCCCCCTCTACTCTGCCCTGGTGAGGCCACTGTGTCCAGTTCTCGGCCCCACAGCACAAGAAAGGCATGGAGCTCCTACAGCAAGTACAGTGAAGGGCTGCAAAGATGATCAAGGGGCTGGAACGTCTCTCCTGTGAGGGAAGGATGAGAGAGCTGAGCCTGTTTAGCCTGCAGGAGAAGACTGAGAGGGGCTATTATTAATATGTACAAATTACTTAAGGGAGAGTATCAACAGGATGGGGCCAGGCTGTGAGGGTGACTGAGCACTGGAGCAAGCTGCTCAGAGTGTTGTGGAGTCTCCTCTGGAGATATTCAAAACCCACCTGGATGTGATCCTGGGCAATGCGCTGTAGGTGACAGTACCTGAAGCAGGAGGTGGACTAGATGACCCTAAATGGCTCCCACAACCTCAGCCAGTCTGAGATTGCTGCAAAAGTCTTCATAATAATTACACACAACTGAAGCTCAGACACCTAAAGGAAGGAAACAATTTCTGTTCTGTCCTGATACACAGAATCTGTGGCCTCTGTATCTTCACGTACAGTACAGAATTTTCTTTGTTTGCTGAAGCTACTGAACCGAGGAAAGCAGGGCAGGCTGCTCTGCAGTCTCTTTTACATTCTTCCATTTTCTTTTCTTGTTTTGAAGATGAAACTAGTTAAAACACCAATGCTGTTCATAGTTACTACCAGCATCTGAGCTACTGACATTTGTTCTGAGTGCAGCGGTTATTCCCCTCAGTTATTCCAGCTGTTGGCAAACTTGGGCAGTAGTTCTCCTCAGTGTGACTTCTGAGAGGCTGATCTGCAGCAAGAACAGATCTGCTTCTTTCCTTCACAATGTGAGTCCTCAGATAACAAGCTGAAGGCTGTGCTGACGCAGACAGCAGAAAAAAAGTGGAACTCTTAAGGCAAAACTAAACGCGCTTTATTTGCTTTGTTCACCTGTAAAGCAAACCGTGCCTTAAGTTGTTCATTTCGTACAAACTGGTGATCCACAACACGCAAGACAGATTTCTCGTCACGCGAGATGGGTTTGCTTCCTTCCTCAGTGCCGTGGAGGTCGTTACGGGCGATACAAGCGTTCTTGCCAAGTTCCAGAGGTGCTTTTCCCAGCTTTCCCCAGCAGGGGGCGGGCCAGACTGCCGGCACGTAAGGCTATGAGGACAGCCGGATGGGAGGGAGGGACACGTTTTCCCCAACCAGCCCCGAGCAGAGCCGCAGAGTGAAAGCAAGCCAATCCCTCAGCCTGGCTTTTAGCCCGTCTGCTGCAACAGCGGCGGCCGTTGCCTCACTCCCGTGCCAGACCTCTGCCTGACCCCCGAAAAGCGAGAGGCTGCGGGCGCGTGAAGGGGCTAACGGACGCAGCGGCCGCCCCGCTCGGGGCGGGGCTCGCGCGCCAGGGGGTGGCGCGGCGGCCCCGCGGCTCGCGCTCGCCCGACGGGCTGCGTCGTGCCGGCAGCATGGCGCGCGTAGGCGCGGACCCGCCGGGTAACGGGCGCGTGCGCTGTGCGGGGCGGGGAGCGGCGGCCGCGTGGGACCGCGGGGGGCCGGGGTGCGGGGCCGGGCACGTGCCGCTGCTTCGCCCGCCAGGGGGCGCGGCGGCAGCGTGGGGGCCGGGTGCGTGCGGCTGCCCTGAGCGCTCAGCCCGGCCGCGAGCGGAGCGGGGATGGAGCTGGTGAGGGCGCTCGTTCCGGAAAGCCGTCGGCCGCTTCCGTGCGTGCCGGTGCCGCGGAGGGGGTGCGCCCGGACCTGTGCCGTGCCGCCCGATGGAGTTCGGTTCGGGAACAAAATAAAAATGATGGAAAACAGAGCCCGCCTTCCGAGGCTGCCGCTTTGTAGCAAAGCCCGGGCGTGCTGGCAGCTGTTCCTTGGTTCTAAGCCATAACTCACATTTCCTGGGTTAAAGAAGATACTAAAAGCGGAGGGGAAGTAAAATCAGCCCCTTGTGGCGTTGTAGTATTTCTAGATGGACAGTTCTGCCTGCCACCGCTTTCTGCTCCGTGCAGGGATGCCAGGCGCTCTCCTTTATAGCCCTTCTCAGGGAATTGGCTGCGCAGCCCTCGCCGTGCTCTGGGTGGTGCCCGCCGCTCGCTGAGCAGGCCTGCCGCCCTTCTGCTCGCCGGCTGTCCGGGTTCCTCTGTCTGCTTGCAGCTTTGCCACGCGCTGGGTGCTGTCAGAGCATCGCTGTCCTGCTGCTGCAGAACCTTCGCCTGGCTGAAACGGGAGATGGGAAGAGGGTATTTCAGCAGCCGTGAGCTGAGCCCAACTGTATATCCAAGAGCAAGTGCTGGGTCGCGTGCTTTGGTCGCAACGACACCAGGCAATGCTACAGGCTTGGGGCAGAGTGGCTGGAAGGCTGCATGGAGGAAAAGGATTCGGGGGTGTTGGTTTACACTCAGTTGAACGTGAGCCGGCAGTGCGCCCAGGCGGCCAAGGAGGCCCACGGCATCCTGGTTTGTGTCAGAAATGGTGCAGCCAGCAGCAGCAGGGAGGCGACCGTCCCCCTGCTCTCAGCCCTGGTGTATTCAGTTTTGGGCCCCTCGCTACAAGAAAGACATTGAGGCCTCAGGGTGTATCCAGAGAGGGGCATCAGAGCTGGTGAAGGGTCTGGAGCACAGGTCTTATGAGGAGCAGCTTAGGAAGCTGGGATTGTTTAGTCTGGAGGAGGCTCATGTGAGACCTGATTGCTCCCTACAACTGCAGGAAAGGAGGTTGTGGGTCTGCTCCCATGCATCAGTGACAGGACAAGAGGTAATGGTCTCAAGTTGTGCTAAGGAAAGTTCAGGGTGGATACTGCGAAACATTTCTTCTTAGAAAGAGTGGTGAGAAAATGAAATGAGCTGCCCAGGGCGGTGGTGGAGTCATCATCCCTGGAGGTGTTCAAGAAACGTGTAGGTGTGGCATTGAGGGACGTGGTTACTGATTGTGGTGGGCTGATAGTCAAACTAGGTGGTCTCAGAGGTCTTTTCCAACCTTAATGATTTTGTGATTTTCTAATGCTTGAGAACAGTGGCTGTTGGAGGAAAGTCCTGTTTCAGGTGGAAACAAAAGCTGCCTGTGGGAATGTTTGTGGATCCACACTGCACAGTCATAAAGCAGTAGTTGATGATGAGTATATTTGGCAGTGCAGCAAAGGATGCGTGTTCTCCCTGTCTCTTCAGCAGCAGGGCATGCCACGCAGTGAGACCCTGCTTGGGTTGGAGGGGTAACAAGTAGGTTAACAATAGGCTACTGCTGAGAACCTGTCTGCTGACTCCTGCTATGGTTCGTGAAACTCAGTGCTGCCAAGGGGCATCCAGCTGAGGAAGATTTAATTAATCAAACAGCAAGTAATTACAGAGTTATCATCGGTTGTTTTTGGCAGGCTAATAGCAGGAGTGGCCTTTCTAGCTGCTGTTATCTATGGTTGTTGTTTTTCTGCATGCTATTTAATATATATACTTTTTTAATGGTGGAGAAAGTTTGGTGAGACCTTTGTGAGTCAGCATTAGTTTGCTGAATTAAAATATACAATGTACAGCTGCTCTGTTGATCAGGGCAGAACCTGGTCAATCTAGTGAATGGTGTTTTAAGTGTCTAAATCTCCTTGTAATTCCTTAATTCGTGTTATGTCACAATAAAGTGATGAAACTTCTACTTTCACAACTTGGTTGGGTATTTAAAACATTGGAAGCAAATTGTAATCCTTTATTTCTTCCCAGGGACGTGTTGCAGGATGATTTCATGCTAATAAACTTATAACACAAGTGCATAAATAATAAAAAGTACCTTTTAAGAATCATAGCAGGCATCAGAAAAAAATGTGTTTTTAGGCAAATTGAAGGAATGTCTTGTTTCATCCCTTGGGCTGTTAAGCTGCTGCACTTGGAAATGTTAGGTTACAAATGGGCAAAGTTTATAGCTTTTAGTCACAGAACAACTGTAAAAGTAGACAGCTGTACTGGGGAGACATCTCAAGTGTTGGGCAAAATTACTTGGTAACATCTAGAAGTGATAAAAGTTGCTTTAGCTGGTTTCATTGTCTTTCCAGACTAGTGATTCCCTTGTTCCCATGACACATCTGAATAAAGAGGGAACCAAATTTCTAAGGCTCTCCAGTGATCTTCATAAAATGTTTTTTTTTTCCCCCAGCTTCTGGATGAGCAATTTGAGGTAGGAATAGGGCTTGTAAGTAAAATAATAAAAAGAAAACAGCAAGAACAGACTGATTTCCTATGCTTAGGAACATCTTCAAGCATTTTTTTCATTCATTCTTTAGCCAGCTCTTGCATCCTGACTTTTCTTGAGAGGGGATTTATGAGAGTTGAATGTTGAATGAGGAGGATGGTTCTTGGTTTAGCAGAACTGACTGTCAGCCTCACTTTTCTCCCAGGGGTAGAATTCAGCACTTTCTAGCATTTTTATGAATTGATCATGTCTGATTTCTGGACTCTCTTTGGCTTTGTCAGTAGGCTTTATTTCTGACTTGAAAATTGTGTTGTCTGTGTGCCAGAGCATGTCTCAAAGCAGTGTGGGTTTCCTAATGGATGAAAAGTTGACCTTAGCAAGGATAGGTGAAATGGATTTTAATGAACTTGAAGTTGTGCCATGCATTTGTAACACGAAGTCTGTCTGGCAGTGGCAGCCACCATCGTGATTCCCACTCTATTTCCTGCAGCCTCTTTAAGATACTCCTGAAGAAGTACAGGTTTTACAAGCTTCTTCAGAGTAAGGCTCCTCTCAGCATTGGGAGCAGAGATTAAGCAAAAAAATCTGCTGCTGTGGGTAGAAAACAGGACACTAAAGTGGTGTCTCTTCAGCCAGGCAAGCTATAGAGAAAGCAGAGCATGCTGCGTGAGGTGCAGGGTCCAAAACCAAAGAGATGGCTGAATGTCTGTGTGCTTTCCAGTGTGTGAGAGAGAAGCAAAGGGTACAAGGAGCACAGGCCTATGGCGTGGAGACTGCAGTGGCACAGCTGGTGATGCTGCAGTGGTCTCCATGTTGTGTCATTGACCTTGGGACCACTTTAAAACGAAAGCAAGCTCTCATGTGTGTCTCATTGGGTCGCAGCTCTCAGTGCAAAAGAGTTATGTTTCATATGAGTCTGCAGTGCAGGCATGCTTTCTGATATGCAATATTTGGGTCTTGCTTTTGAAAGCCTTTAGATTGAAGATTGATTTTATCTTCATGAATAATTTGATAGTTTAATATGAATAGGTTTAAGCTTTTGTATAGGAAGCTGCTAAGCCTGCCTGTTTGGTGCTCAAAATTTCAACTTGAGGGCGAGGTGTTTTTTCCTTTTGGTATTTCCATCTTCCCTTCAGTAGCTTCATACTTGTATAGAGCAAGTTTATTTGAAAATCTTATTTGGCTTCTCTTTTTGGGAGAGCTGATTTAGAGCAGTTCTTCCTTGGTTTTTGTATAAATG